CAGACTACCACACTGTCTACAGACTACCACACTGTCCACAGACTACCACACTGTCCACAGACTACCACACTGTCCACAGACTACCACACTGTCCACAGACTACCACACTGTCCACAGACTACCACACTGTCTACAGACTACCACACTGTCCACAGACTACCACACTGTCCACAGACTACCACACTGTCCACAGACTACCACACTGTCCACAGACTACCACACTGTCCACAGACTACCACACTGTCCACAGACTACCACACTGTCCACAGACTACCACACTGTCCACAGACTACCACACTGTCCACAGACTACCACACTGTCCACAGACTACCACACTGTCCACAGACTACCACACTGTCCACAGACTACCACTTTCCCAAAATGCAAGGGGAAATTATTCTTTTATTATATTCCTTTATTGTAATAAATTTATTATGTACTAAATAGTTTATATTTGCAAAAATATTCCAGTAGTTGATTTCACAGCAGTGAGATGGACACGACGGTCCTGGCGCCTCACAACCATCAACCTAATTATAACAGCATGCACAGAATCTTGAAAAGCTTTTCTTGCGACTTTATAGTTGTTTTTCATGTTTTCTTCGATAGCTTGTATTTATATTATGGTGGGTGTTACTCTGAACATGTTTACTTAGTGAACAGTTGTATCTTAGCTGGTAAAATATGGTATTTTTTACTTATATTTGTAAGTGGTAGCTGATAGCAGGTGATAACCTCTCATATGTTTGCACAGGTATTGTACAGGGGCACATCAACCCTCCCAACACATTTCAGCATCAACAGGCAATGACAACTACAGTGAAAATGTAGTCAGGTGTAAGGGAGGGATCCCAGTCATATGTAGCATCTTGCCTAGAAGGGGAGTGGTCTATGAATTGATGTCTAGGGCAATTGGTATAAATTGCTGGCTAGACAGGTACTGCAAGGAACTTGCAATCCCATTCGTTGATAACTGGGACATATTCTATAGTAAATGTGATATGTATGCAAGGGATGGGGTTCATCTCTCTGGGGCTGGAGTGGTTGCATTAGCCATTTCGATTGAGGGGGTTATTGATGACTTGTCTGGGACTTTAAACTGATAGATTATAGAGGTATGGGTGTCTGTGGGAAAAAATCAGGCTGCAGTATTAGAGTTGAAAGCAGCAGATATAACCAGGATACCTCAGGGATATGTTTAAAAGACAATATTCAAAATAAAGTTGCTAGTAAAGGCAAATCAATTGATCAACAAAGAGAGATAGTAGAGGGTAACGAGTGACTAGCTTCCTTAAGGTTTACTATACAAATAGTAGGAGTCTAAGAAAGAAGATAGATGAGCTAAGATTACTTGCAAGTGAAGGTAATATAGGTATTATTGCTATAACAGAGACCTGGTTCAACTTGAAAGATAGAGAAAGGCCTTCTGAATGCAGCATACATACAGGGTTATAGACTATTCCATACTGATAGGGTCAACAGGAGCAGTGGTGGAGTGGTGATGTATGTCAGGGATAATTTAAATTGTTGTGTTAGACAAGATATAAGATTAGAAACATCGGACACAGAATCTGTTTGGCTACAGTTTCTCGGGGGTCATGAAAAGTTAATTTTGAGTGTGATTTATAGGCCCCCAAACCTTGATAGGAAGTGCAGTAAGCTGCTATGGGACGAAATTCATAAGGTATCTAGATATGAAAATGTGTCATTGGGAGATTTTAACTTTAGACAAATTGACTGGATCAATGTGACAGGAAATCTTGAATCTAGTGACTTTCTTGATACAGTTCAGGATTGCTTTTTAAAACAGTTTGTGACAGAACCAACTAGAGGAAACAATCTACTTGCCTTGGTTCTTGCCAACAAAGAATCACTAATTAATAATCTTGAGGTTAATGACGAGCTTGGGGAAAGCGATCACAAATCACTTAGTTTCATATATCATGGAGTTACCCGGATAACTGCAATCAAATCTCTGTCCCAGACTTTCGCTTGGCCTATTTCATGGGACTGAAAAATTACCTGGGTGGGCTAAATTGGGATGTCCTGACTATTGGTCAGGTAGGTGGTGTTGGCCGTCAATATGATGTTTTTCAGAGCATAGTTCTAGTTGCCCAGACAACTTTTGTTCGGGGAGGGAAATTAAATCTAACAAAAATTATCCCAAATGGATGAACAATAGATTAAAACATCTCATTGGTCAAAAGAGAGGCATATATAGGCATATCAGAAGAGGGGATGGGCAGTTAAGAAATCAATATATTCAATTAAAGAGAGAAATAATAAAAAAAGGGAATAAGAAAAGCAAAAAGGGATTATGAGGCTAAGGTCGCAAGGGATTCAAAGACTAACCCAAAAGGGTTCTTTCAGGTATACAGAAGTAAGATTAGGGACAAGATTGGCCCACTTAAGAGTAACTCTGGTCGGATCACTGACAGTGATAAGGATATGTGTGAAATTCTCAATACCTACTTCCTCTCAGTTTTCACCCAGGAAAATACTAGTGGTATTCCTGAAATAATAGATTATGTAGAACAGGATGATGATAAACTATGTACGATTGCAGTAACTAGTGACATGGTCCTCAGACAAATTGAGAAACTAAAACCTAACAAATCTCCAGGCTCTGATGAACTGTTTGCAAGTGTGTTAAAGGAATGTAAAGAGAAACTTAGCATGCCTTTGGCTAATCTTTTCAACCTATCACTGCAAACTAGCTTAGTGCCTGATAAATAGAAAATGGTAAATGTAATACCTATTTACAAGGTAGGTGACAGGTCCCTAGCTTCAAACTATGGACCAATAAGCCTTACCTCCATAGTGGGAAAATTTATGGAATCAATAATTACCAAGCAATTTGTAGCCATCTTGAAAGGCATAAATTGATTAATGAATCTCAGCACGGTTTTACAAAGGGGCGTTCCTGTCTTACAAATTTACTGACTTTCTTCACTAAGGTATTTGAGGAGGTAGATTGTGGTATTGAATATGATATTGTGTATATGGACTTCAGTAAGGCTTCCGATAGAGTTCCACATCAGAGGTTATTGAGGAAACTTAAGGCACACGGAATAGGAGGAGAAATTTTTTCCTGGGTTGAGGCATGGTTGACGAATAGGGAGCAGAGAGTTTGCATAAATGGGGAGAAATCAGAATGGGGGCATGTCACAAGTGGTGTTCCACAGGGGTCAGTGTTGGGCCCGTTGTTGTTCACAGTCTACATAAATGACATAGATGAGGAAATAAATAGTGACATAAGTAAATTTGCTGATGACACCAAAATAAGCCATCCAATTCATTCTAATGAGGACATTAGAGCACTCCAGGGTGATTTGAATAAACTCATGCAGTGGTTGGAGAAGTGGCAGATGCAGTTTAATATAGACAAATGCAAAGTTCTAAATGTTGGACAGGAAAATAACCATGCCACATATAAACTAAATAATGTAGATCTTAATATTACAGATTGTGAAAAGCATTTAGGAATTCTGGTTAGCAGTAATCTAAAACCAAGACAACAGTGCATTAGTGTTCGCAATAAAGCTAACAGAATCCTTGGCTTCATACCAAGAAGTATAAATAATAGAAGTCCTCAGGGTTGTTCTTCAACTCTGTATATCTTTGGTTAGGCCTCATTTGGATTATGCTGCACAGTTTTGGTCACTGTATTACAGAATGGATATAAATGCTCTGGAAAATGTACAAAAGAGGATGACAAAGTTGATCCCATGTATCAGAAATCTTCCCTATGAGGAAAGACTGAGGTCCCTGAATCTGCACTCTCTAGAAAGGCGTAGAATTAGGGGGGATATGATTGAGGTGTGTAAATGGAAAACAGGAATTAATAAAGGGGATGTAAATAGCACGCTAAAAATATCTAACGTAGACAGGACTCGCAGCAATGGCTTTAGTTGGAAAAATTCAGATTCAGGAAGGATATAGGAAAGCACTGGTTTGGTAATAGAGTTGTGGATGAGTGGAACAAGCTCCCGAGTACCGTCATAGATGCTAAGACATTGTGTAGTTTTAAAAATAGGTTGGATAAATATATGAGTGGATGTGGGTGGGTGTGAGTTGGACCTGACTAGCTACTAGGTCGGATGCAGTGCTCCTTCCTTAAATGATATGTCTGACCTCACTAGGTCAAGGCATTGGCTTAAACTGGTGGGGAGATTTGGAGCTGCCTCGCATAGACCAATAGGCCTGTTGCAGTATTCCTTATTTCTTATGTTCTTATGTTCTTATGAGGGCAAATATTCTATTAGTGAGATGGATCTGTGAAGGACCTGCCTAGTATGTGCCAACAGGCCTGCTGCAGTGTTCCTCCTTTCTTATGTTCTTATGTCCTGGGGCCTAGAGCAGCTGATGATGTCCTACCATCAGCTGTATAAAGTATTGCAGGATAAAGGACTAAAAACACATTACAGAATTTCTCACTACTCCAGTACAACTGCTAACTTTAGTGCCAAAGCCTCAACCATCCAACTTGGCAAAGAATCCACAACTTTCCATCTTAGCCTAGTAGGTCCACAGCATCCCAAAGACCCCAGTGTAAATAAGTAACTTGGACCTTCTTTTGGGGTTATCCTAGGTAATTTACACTATAATAACTGCACTTATGTGTACCTGTGCCTAAATAAACTTACTTATCCCTCTCCACTCTGTTTGGAATCATTGATATATACCAGCAACCACAATTCGAGATAAGAAATATTATTTCTGTTCCATATATAGCCTTAAGCAATGCATTAAACATAATGCATCACAATAATAAACCACAATTATATTATCATTTTTATTTTTTTTCGTAATTTGGGGACCTAAAAAAAGTTTGTTTGCCCTTTTTGGGGTCCAAGGCACATAATCCTATTTTTTCCCATAAGTTCTTCAGTGTGTTTTACACAATTTCTTCTTGTACCCAATTTTCAGGAACATAACAACCATGTAAATCTGCAGTCTACTGTACTACTACTAATAATAGTTATCATTGTGTGTCTCAGGGTCGCGGACGTGAGGGTAGCAGAGCTGGGTCGCGAGAGCGCCTGGTTATGGCTCCCTTAAGTCTGGCCCACCGCGACTACCCTCGTCATGACTACTACCAACACAAGCCTCAGGACTATCCCAGTAAGCTGCAGGACTATCCCAGCAAGCTGCAGGACTACTCCAAGACTCAGGACTACCCCACGAAGCCCCAGGACTATCCCAGCAAACCCCAGGACTACCCCAGCAAGAATGGAGGGAATACCCCAGTGTACAAGGCTCAGAGCCGAGAGGTAGTGCCAGCCCAGCGCCAGCAGTCCCCTGGGGTGGCTCTAGGGATGCTGGGGTCCACTGGGGGTGGTGCTCTCAGGGAACGGGTAGCTTCACCCCACAGGGTGACATCCCCTCCAGTAAAACTCCAGGAGCAACAGAGAATGGCCAGTCCACCCATCAAAATGGCTGACCCTCGTCCCCAGCATGACTACCTAAAACCCGATATGTCTAAATTAGACATTTCTTCTGTGGGAGCCCCCAGAGTAAGCCCTGCAGGTATCAGCAGCCATTTTGTACAACAATACCCTGAACGTGATACCCCATCTCAGGTTAACAATACCCCATCTCAGGTTAACAATAGCCCATCTCAGGTCAACACCAGTACCACCAATGCAGTGTGGGAAGGTAGCTACCCAATGACTACCGAGAAATACCCAATTTCGGGGCATCTTAGCTCTACGTATGCTCCTCTGCCCTTGACGGCATTGCACATGCAATCTTCACCGTCTCATGGCCAGAGGCTGCAACACGACCCACCAGAAAAGGTTATCGATGCCCTCGAAGTGAAGAAGGATATTAGTTTTTCATCCAGTAATAATAACAATAGCTGTATGGATGATGCCCTGGATGATAAGTACCGCGACTACCCAGCAGAGAAGGACTTAGGCGACCCTGAAGTCCTAGTCGACGGCTGCGATCTGAAGAAGCTAGCCGAAGTCACTAGCAAGATGGCGCTCACTGTCCTGCCAGATGATGTTGACACTTACAACGAACTCAACAAACATCACCTGAATAGCCACCTGAGTGCTCACCTGGGCCACCTGGGACGCCCTGCGGGCCAGCTGACTCCTGAGAGCACAGACTGCGGCTCTCTAAGCAAGAGTTCCTCAGACGGTGACCACATGATGCATCGCAAACGGCCACCGACCAAACTCAAGTCTAAGAGACGGAATATTCTCTCCTTCCCTCACCACCTGTCAGTTGACGAGCTGCGAGTTATACAGGTAAGAACCAGTTGTGGGTGCCTTGGCATTGCTCCTTTTATAAGCCTCTGCACTCTGTTCTTAACCCTTTGAAATTCATTTAGCATTGCAATATCCTATCTGTTGCCTTAAATCTTTAAACAACTGATCCCTGAATTTCATATTATCTAATATCTCAGCAGTTATCCAGGGTTCAGTTTTTCATTTGATTCTAACCTCTTTACATGGTATATTATTATCAAGGACGGCAGTGAACGTGGTTCTGAATTTTACGTCTGTGCACCTTAACACCGTCCAATCACAATTGCATAGCCTATTTACCAGTTTTTCTTTACTGTAACTTCTAGTTGACCTTAATTTTATTGTCCTGTGTAGGCCTATCCATTCTCTAATGATTTTCCTGGCGCAATAAGTGATGAAGTGATTACTAAGACTTGTGGTTATGATGCATGACTGACTAATGTTCTCAGAGTGGTTGCAAAATATGTTTGGTTAGGTAAGGTTTGTCAGGAAACAGGACAAGTGTTTCCTGATGTGGGTCTTAGTCACATGATGACCCACAGCTGGAGCTTTTGGTCATCTGGCCAAATCCTTCCACTGGCTTACCACTCCACCCCTATAAAAATTATGGTTATAATTATAACCTTTTAAAGGTAGTAGGTTGGTAGACAACAACCACCCAGGGAGGTACTACCATCCTGTGGTAGTAGGTTGGTAGACAGCAACCACCCAGGGAGGTACTACCATCCTGTGGTAGTAGGTTGGTGGACAGCAACCACCCAGGGAGGTACTACCGTCCTGCCAAGTGAGTGTAAAACGAAAGCCTGTAATTGTTTTACGTGATGGTAGGATTGCTGGTGTCCTTTTTTCTGTCTCATAAACATGCAAGATTTCAGGTATGTCTTGCTACTTCTACTGACACTTAGATCACACTACACATACATGTACAAGCATATATATACACACCCCTCTGGGTTTTCTTTCTAGTTCTTGTCCTTGTTTATTTCCTCTTACCTCCATGGGGAAGTGGAACAGAATTCTTCCTCCGTAAGCCATGCGTGTTGTAAGAGGCGACTAAAATGCCAGGAGCAAGGGGCTAGTAACCCCTTCTCCTGTATATATTACTAAATGTAAAAGGAGAAACTTTCATTTTTCCTTTTGGGCCGCCCTGCCTCGGTGGGCCACCCTGCCTCGGTGGGATATGGCCAGTGTTTTGAAAGAAAGAAATTATAACCTTTATATATACTAAGTATGTGATCAAGTATGGTGGCTGAGTGTTAGTGTTACAGTGCATTACAGTGTGTAACACTGTGTTACATGTTAAATGATTGTCACAGAGATGTGATAAATGCAACCTGGAGTGGGAGCCATAAGTTGATACCTGGAGAAGGATTCGGGGGTCAATGCCCCCGCTGCCCAGTCTGTGACCAGGCCTCATGGTGGATCAGGGCCTGATCATCCAGGCTGTTACTTTGGCCAAATGCAACCCAAAATACAACCCACAGCCCGTCTGATCAGGTACTGACTTTAGGTGCCTGTCCAGCACCTTGAAGATAGCCAGGAATCTATTGGTAATCCCCCTTATGTATGCTGAGAGGCAGTTGAACAGTCTTTGATAGCCATACGTGCGGGTTCTATCCCCGCCCGTGGTATGGTTTGTTTGCAGTCGTGTCATTACAATTTCGTGAGTCATGATGGATATTCAGTTTTCTAAAAGGAACACAAGGCCTAGTAAAAGTATACAAACAAAATCTGTTAGCAAATAAGCAGTACACAGCCTCTGGGTGCAGTTCTGGCTCTTCTACTGTTTGCAGGGCCTGGGAGGTGGATTTGGGCTGGTACATTGGCCTTGGGTCTGGCTGTGATTCTCTGAAGGGGCCCCATAGCCATAGACATTTCATTTTAATTTTTTAGGTAATTTCAACAATTTTTAGTTTAGAAAAATTATGCAGAATTCGATTCATTTTCTGAATTTTGGTTGTTGATCATCACCTCAACCCTCAGTCAGCCCGCAGGGGCCCCAAAGCAGTCTTATTCTTCCTTGCAAAATTTCTCTTAGAGGCCCTGACTGTTTGTCGTTGTGTCAGTAAATTAATGGGACATTTGCTCAACATTCCAGCATCTTTATCAACATTCCAGCATCTTTATCAACATTCCAGCATCTTTATCAACATTCCAGCATCTTTATCAACATTCCAGCATCTTTATTTTGTAAAAGCACCCAGATGTTTCATAAATATCTCATTAATCAACCTGTAAGTTTTCTGACCTATTTATATATTATCCTCACAGCAGGTGAGGATATCAGGTGCAGGAACTTGTAAGATTTCCAACTGATACAGGTGACGTAAGATTAATTTATCTTACCCTCGTAAGGCTCCCTTAGTTCACTTCTTTGGAAAGGTTAACTGAGTTGCAATGTCCTTCCTTGCTTTCTCCATGCACAAACTAGAACAGACTTACTTGTGGTGTGGAGTCTATCCTAGCTAGACATCCCCTGAGTCTACCCAGGTTAACTGACTTCTGTGTGACTTCTCTCTTGAATGCCACATGCACTGGAAAATTGTACCTGTAATCGATTACATCGCATACATCCCAAGGAGTCCCTGGGGTATCCCTAACTAACTTTAATGTACTAAATACTCAAGGGGTGATTCACTTAACAATCTTGACTGCTACATACCCTAGTTTGGGCTCTTGGCCCACTCATAACCCATACCTAAATTATCCGGTGTTTTCCAAAATAATGACAGCCACCTATTATTAAAGTGAAAATGTGTAATACTTTCATGATAGGGTCTGGTGTTGAGACAAGTATCTTTGGAACCTTGGAAAGGCCTCTATTGTTGTTTTACTGATTGCCAGATGAGTATTTTGTAGACAGCATGAAACACTGGGCTTAGAGCTCCTGTGGATTCTTATCTCCTCGACTGCTGATGCCAGAAGAATGCTCATACATTCACTTACCTTTGATATACCTTTGATGAGTTTCGAGAGTCTTACTGCTCTCAGAGCTCGGTCATGGGTCAGGCTTCTCTGGTGCTAGCCTGGTCAACCAGGCTGTTGCTTCTGGCTTCCCACTAACCCACGTATCTGTCACTAGCCAGCTTTCTCTACCTAACTCAAGAAGATGCCAGCTATCACCATATGTCTAATCTCATTTCCTATTATAACATTTTGATATTAATGTCTAAGGCTCTTTATTAATTCAAATATTTACTAATGATTCAAGCCTACCTACATTATTCATAAGGCCTCAGTCTATCAAATATTACCTCAGCCTTATGGTTCTTTTGCTGTTCCAGGGGTATGTTAGTGGGTTTAAGGGTGCAATACAACTTTTTTGCCATCCCTGTAAACATGACACTAAAATATTTATGCAAGTGATCTTCGATTTACGATGAGGTTACATTCTGACGAACTCGTTGTAAGTCAAAAATATCTTCAGTATGATATGAATGTGGTATGCTAAATAGATAAGTAAATAAATAATTACTCTCACTGAATACGTAAATCAAAATATGATTACTGTAACTAATTGCTTTTGCACCATCGTAAAGTTGAATCATCGTAAGTTGAACCATTGTAAGTCAAAATGCACCTGTATACAACCCACCAGTGGGAATTTGGGACCAAATAAATTCCCACATCAGGTTTTGTACAACTTATTGGGGTTATGCTATACAGCCTCTCCTCACTTTACGACAGAGTTCCATTCCTGAGGCCACATCGTTAAACGAATTCGTCACTAAGTGAGGAGCGTACGTACTATAATGGTAGTGAGTTTCTGTCAACCATCTTTAATATTGTTTTAATGTTACCTTTGCACCATTTATAACAGTTCTTGTATATTCTTAAATGTTTATACAGTAGTGTACTGTACAGTGGACCCCCGCTTAACGATCACCTCCCAATGCGACCAATTATGTAAGTGTATTTATGTAAGTGCGTTTGTACGTGTATGTTTGGGGGTCTGAAATGGACTAACCTACTTCACAATATTCCTTATGGGAACAAATTCGGTCAGTACTGGCACCTGAACATACTTCTGGAATGAAAAAAATATCGTTAACCGGGGGTCCACTGTATATTGAAATAAACAGAATAGAGGAAATCGGCTCTAATATATATTATGTAGGTATGAATACTGGTCAGATAGCCTGTCGTAAGTCCGAGGTATCAGTAAACAAGTACGTTGCTAAGTAAGGAGAGGCTGCACATGAATGGGACTGCAGTCCTGTTTGATTCAAGGGAGGATAGTGTTAATTCCTTGGATCAAGAGCCCTTAATCAGCCTCTTGACTTGTGCAGCTTATACTGTTTCCTGTTTTTTCTTAGCGACGACAGGACTCATATGGCGGTGGATCATCCTCGGATGAGAACAGGTCGTCAGGCCACGCCTCCATGTCAGATGACCACACCTCCTCGTCTCCACCCATCGACTCCCTGCCCAGGCACGACCACCTCAGGTCCAACCTGAAGGTCGTTCCTGAGGATGAACGACTATCAGCGGCTGTCACCTCTGTTGGGGCCGGCTACAAGGGTGCCGGCTCGGCCAGACGTGGCCAACAGTGGCCCAGGCACAGGGCCACACCTTCCAAGGTAACCTGTGGCCATAACTTTTAATTTTTTCATCAAAAACTTGTAAAATAATGTCATGGATCGAAGAACAAGATTAAGATTGTTTTCACTGTAGATTGCAGTGTTTGAAGTTATTTCTCATGTATTTGAGGCTATTTCTAAAAAACTGAGGTCATTTCTAACATATTTGAGAACATTTCTAAGAATTTGAGGCTATTTCCAAAATATTTGAAGTCATTTCTAACATAATTGAGGTTGTTTCTAACATATCTAAGGCCATTTTGAGGTCATTTCTGATATTTGAAACCATTTTTAACATTCATTTTTTATGCCATTTATAACATTTGATGCCGTTTCTAAAATATTTGAGTTCATTTCTAACATTTGAGGCCATTTTAGTTCACATCTCTTAACACCAATCTTCACCACGAACTTGAAGAACAAGTTCTTCACATCCAGTGTGTTCTTCATGTTCTTCAGCAGCTGCTGGTCATTTTTCATCAGTTAAAAAAATGACATTGTTTCAGGATGACCTCTCACTGACCCTGGAGAGTGCCAGTGGCCTGGAGGATATCAAACAAGCCATTGAGCAGCTCACAATGCGTTCCCAAGGCTCAAGAACTAGCTACTCCACCTCCACCTACTCCTCCATGTCAGGCTCTGAGGGCGAGCCAGTTCGAAGATTGATGAGGCACTCGTCCTTGGAAACTATTAACACTAATGTCACGGCCGCTGATGAGTTTGTTTGGGTTGATTCCCACAACAGGTAATGTTTCATAAGGTATTGATTTCACTTTGTGAACACACTAGCTTGTTTTAGAGTATTGTTCCTTTTCCTGTATTGTTTCTGTCACTATATACCTGGAGGGTGTTTTGGGGGTTCAGTGCCCCCACAGCCTGGTCCATTACCAGGCCTCGTGGTAGATCAGGGCCTGATCAACCAGGAACCACAGCCTGGGTGGTCATGTACTGACTTTTAGTGTTGGTCCAGCTTCCTCTTGAAGACAGCCAGGGGTCCATTGGTAATCCCTCTTATGTATACTGGGAGACAGTTGAACAGTTTTGGCTCCCTGACACTTATTGTGTTGTCTCTTAGCATACTCATGGCACCCATGTTTTTCACTGGGGGATGTTGCATCTCCTGCCCAGTCTTTTACTTTCTAGTAAGTGATTTCAGTCTACAGATTTGGGACTAGTCCCTCTAGGATTTTCAAAGTGTATATTATCATGTACCTTTCTCGCCTGCATTCCAGGGAGTACAAATCAAGGGACTTCAACTGTTCCCAGTAATTTAAGTGTTTTATTGTACCTATACATGCCATGAAAGTTCTCTGTGTATTCTTCAGGTCTGCAATTTCACCTGCCTTGAAAGGGGCAGTTAGTGTACAGAAATATTCCAGCCTAGAGAGAAGTGATTTAAAGAGTATCATCATGGGCTTGGCATCCCTAGTTTTGAAGGTTCTCATTATCCATCCTATCATTTTCCTGGCAGATGTGATAGATACATTATTGTGATCTTTGTAAGTGAGGTTTTCTGACATTATCACTCTCAGGTCCATCACATTAGTTTTTCACTCTGATGTGTGGTTGGAATTGTTTTATACTCCACTCCTGTTGCTGTATTTAAAGAAGTGGTATACCTGGAGGGTGTTCCGGGGGTCATTGCCTCAGCAGCCCGGTCCATGACCAGGTCTCATAGTGGATCAGGACCTGATCCACTGTTACTGCTGGCCACATACAAACCAGTGTAGAAACCACAGCCCAGCTAGTCAGGTACTGACTTTAGGTGCCTGCTTGGCACCTTCTTGAAGACAACCAGGGGTCTGTTGGTAATCCCCCTTATGTATGCTGAGAAGTGAGACCTATAAACAACTTGAAGAATAGGTATGACTGGGCTCTTGAGGCCAGAAATCAGCACAACCCATTAGTTAGAGTTAAAAAAAAACCTGGCCAGGAGTGATAATTCAAACCTCTTGCACATTAGACTTAATTCATCACTCTCTGTGTACTCCTAGTTATGACTTCAGGTCCTGAATATACAGTAAGGCCGCCATATCCATGGGTCCAGTTTCCACGGTTTCAGTTATCCGCAGTTTACCCTGGCCCAAAAATAACCCTCAATTTTACTTAATAATTGCCCAAAAGTGCAAAAGCAGTGATGGCAGTTCTTCAGAGAAGCTGTGAAGTGCTTCCCATTAGTGAAAAGTGATAATTCTAGACTTATTGTTCATAATTGATCAATTAAACTTGTATATAGGTATGTATGTAAACAAAAAAACGACTTATATATAGTGTTTGCTACTATCCGTGGTTTTGGAGTGTCTTGGAATATATCCCCAGTGGATATGTAGGTCCTACTGTATTACCAGCATTTTGGACCCTATCATACCTGCTCTTAAAACTGTGTAAGGGATCTTCCACTGATTTCCCATACGTACTCTGTTCCCTAACTTCCCTAACCCCATACTAACATTTCCAGTCGTGCCTCAACTTACTAATGTCTAATTCTATGAAGCCTATTGGCTCACTTTGTTAAGTTAAAAGCCTATTGTTATTATTACAGTCATGGAGCACTAAACCCATAGGGGTCATACAGTGCCTTGGGGAATGGAAAGCATTCAGGCTTAATTCAAGGAATTGGAACATTGCTCTAATTCCTGGGATCAAGAGCCCCTCACCAGCATCAAGGAACTTTCTCTGAAAGGTTTAAAGCCTATTTAAAGCCTAGTTAATCATCGAAGTCGGACTGAAACATCGTCATAAGTTTCATTCTCTGATGTGCAGGTTATGTGTTTGTGCACGGTTAAGTGATATGTGCACCTGTAAGTGGTATGGTGTGCACCTGTAAGTGGTATGGTGTGCACCTGTAAGTGGTATGGTGTGCACCTGTAAGTGGTATGGTGTGCACCTGTAAGTGGTATGGTGTGCACCTGTAAGTGGTATGGTGTGCACCTGTAAGTGGTATGGCATGCACCTTTAAGTGGTATGGCATGCACCTTTAAGTGGTATGGCATGCACCTTTAACCCTTAAACTGTCTAAACAAATTTACATTCACATGTGTAGTGCTCCAAAAGTAGATCAAAGTTTTTTTTACACGTTTTCAAATGCAAAAAAAAAGAAAAGAAGATCTATGTTTTTTTACATATTTTCAAATGTTGTAAAAACGTAGATCTACGTTTGGACAGTTTAAGGGTTAAAGGAAATATCACAAAAGATTTTGGTGGCTTGGAAAATCAATATTATATTCATTTATCATAACTGTGATAATTCCACTTAGAATTATTGTACAGAGACGAGACGTACACCAAAATGTTGCTAGATTTAGGAACCATTTTCCAATTTGTACAGATTGGTTGAGCTTCAGCAGCTACCGTGGAGCAACCATGATGTGCTACGAGTGGTGCAGCAGGGCCGGGTGAGGGAGCAGCTAGACAGAGTGTCCATGGAGGCGGTGCCGCGACTGTCGTACCTGCTGCAGCGGGCACTGGTTAGGGTGGCGCGTGAGGCTCAGAGGCTCACTCGACCCCTGGCAATGTGTAGCAAGCAGGAAGTCTCCTCTGCTCTCAAGATTGTCCTGTCTCCAGCTCTGGCTGATTCCTGCATAAAGGTAACAGGCAATATAACCGATCCTCATTAGCTCCTCACATACTTCAAGGTTGTTTCTTGTAAACTCCTCTCCTTCCTTCCTCCCTCAGCCAGATTACCTAGTCTTTGACTGTTGTTTTCTTCCTGATGTGGCTGTACAACAGCTTCGGGTCAGACTTGGCTTACACTGCTATGTAATTTTCATATTGTTGTTGGGCCTCCCTCCTCACCTGTGCATATTCATTTCTTGCTCTTTGACTACTCTCCTTATTCTCCTGGGTCATTTACCTTCTTTACTTCTTCCATTCTCTAGCACACTTTGTTTTCACTTCTCTACACATTTTGGTGAACCAAGGGCTCATCCTGGCCTTATCACTTATTGCCCTTGGTTACAAACCTCTTCTCTGCTTTCTTGCATATTGTTGCCACACATTCCATCATCTCATTTACTGATTTCCCTTCCAGTTCTGTCCCACTGTACCTTGTGCAGGAAATTCCTCATGCCTGGGTAGTCCCCTCTCGTGTAGTTTGGCTTTATTCATCCTGCCCTTCCTACCTCCCTCTCCACTTGTAAAACTACCATATATTCGAAGCTTAGAACCACAAAATCACTAGCTCCAAGGGGCTTTTTGTTTGTGATGTCCTCAATATCTGCACTGCTCAAGGTGAATATTTGGTCCAGTCTTTCTGGTTCATCCTCTTCCCTTTCTCTAGTAGTATCCCTAACGTGTTGATGCATGAAGTTATCCAGTATCACCTCCAACATCTTAGCTCTCCACATTCCTGGGCCCCCATGTGGCTCCAGATTTTCCCAGTTGGTTTCTTTCTGATTGAAGTCATCTACAACCAGCAGCTTTGCCCTGCCCCCATAGGCCCTTCAGCCACTTCAGCCAGTGTGTCAACCATCTCTCTGTTACTCTCAGCATATTCTTGTCTTGGCCTCCTGCTATTCTGCAGTGGGTTGTACATCACTGCAATCACCACCTTGGAACCTCCAGACTAAAGTGTTCCTATTATGTAGTCTCTTGCTTCTCCTGTGTCTCCTCTCTCCAGCTCCTCAAAATCCCATTGGCTTTTGTTGAGCAGTGCCACTCCTCCACTCCCTCTGTTCCCTCTGTCTTTCCTTAGGATCTGAAATCCAGTTGGAAAAATGGCATTTATTATCATTCCTGAGATTTCTGTAAGGGCTGCATCTGGTAATGCCTTTGTGATTCTTTTGTGCCACTCCTCCCACTTATTCGTTATCCCATCAGCATTGGTGTACCATACCTTCAGTTTCCTCTAATATACTAGCTCCCCCTCAGTCAGGGATAATCACAGACAGCACTACTGACCACTACCCTACCTTCCTCTTAACAAACATTTGTAAACTACCATTGGAATACAACAAGTTCTCTTTTAGACTCCATGAGGAGGCATCAATAAATAACTTCACAACAGAGCTAAGTCCGATTGACTGGCCTACAGAATTTTCCAGTCCCAATGGTATCAGTGATTGGATAGACATATTTCTTAACAAATTACTTAGACTGTATAACAAACATTGTCCCATAAAAATGAAAGAGATTACAAATAAACGGCTCGGTTGCCCATGGCTAACCAACAGCATACTAAGATCCATTGATAAGAAACATCAGTATGAAAAGCAATATAGATAGGGCTTAATAAACAAAGATATTATTAAGCAGTTTGGAGGGATATGTTGTGTATCTTTATACGTATATGCTTCTAAACTGTTGTGTTCTGAGCACCTCTGCAAAAACAGTGATAATGTGCGAGTGTGGTGAAAGTGTTGAATGATGATGAAAATATTTTCTTTTTGGGGATTCTGGGTCACCCTGCCTCGGTGGGTCACCCTGCCTCGGTGGGTCACCCTGCCTCGGTGGGTCACCCTGCCTCAGTGGGTCACCCTGCCTCGGTGGGTCACCCTGCCTCGGTGGGTCACTCTGCCTCGGTGGGTCACCCTGCCTCGGTGGGTCACCCTGCCTCGGTGGGTCACCCTGCCTCAGTGGGTCACCCTGCCTCGGTGGGTCACCTTGCCTCGGTGGGTCACCCTGCCTTGGTGGGTCACCGTGCCTCGGTGGGTCACCCTGCCTCGGTGGGTCACCGTGCCTCGGTGGGTCACCCTGCCTCGGTGGGTCACCCTGCCTCGGTGGGTCACCCTGCCTCGGTGGGTCACCCTGCCTCGGTGGGTCACCCTGCCTCGGTGGGAGACGGCCGACTTGTTGAAAAAAAAAAAAAAAAAGTTATTAAGCATAACACATCAGTCCTCACCAACCTAATAAGAAAGGCTAAGCAATTGTACTACTCTAATAGATTCACTGGAAGACTCTCATATTCTAGGCAGCCACAAACTGAAAAAGCTAGGGATATTGTCCTAACTAAACTGAATGAAATACAACTACAACCTATTGATACAGTCAACAAGATAAATGTTTTTTTCTCAAATTATTATTTTATTATTATTATCACACTGGCCGATTTCACCATCATTCACTCCATCACTGTCTTGCCAGAAGGGTGCTTTACACTACAGTTTTTAAACTGCAATATTAACACCCCTCCTTTTCTCAAATATAGGATCAAATCTCACCAGTAAAATCCCAGGTGCCAATGCCCGAGTGAGTGATTACTTAGATGGGAATTTCCCAACCTCCTCCTATCTTGCACCAACCGAGCCCACAAGTCACCACAATTATTAAGTCACTTAAAAATAAATCAGGAAATCTGGCTGAAGTTCCACCATTATTGTACAAACAAGTGGCTCATGTTCTTTCACCTGCTATTTCATTACTCTTAACAAATCACTAGAAACCAGCATTTTCCTGACATTAATCAAAATAGCCAGGGTCACACCAATACACAAATGAGGTGACCTCACAGATGTTAACAACTACAGGACAATATCAAACTTACTGTTGCTATCTAAAATCTTCAAGAAACTCGTGAACAAGAGATTACTATATTCTTTTATAACGATTACTATATTCTTTTATAACATCACAAAGCATCCTCCATCCCTGCCAATTTGGCTTCAGGAAAAGCTGAAGCACAAATGATCCAATTGTAAACATGCTAGACCTGCTTTACACAACACTTAAAAAAAATGAATATCCACTAGGACTCTATCGACCTAAGGAAAGCTTTTGATACAGTAGACCACAGTATCCTACTCCACAAACTTGATCATTATGGTATAAGAGGCCACGCACTTACATACAGCCTCTCCTCACTTAGTGATGTACTCGTTTACCAATAACTCAGACTTATGATGGGCTCTCTGACCAGAAATGTCATAAATGGTACAAAGGTAACATTAAAACAATATAAAAGATGGTTGACACAAACCCACTACCATTATAGTATGCTCCTCACTTAGCAACGAATTTGTTTACCGATGTGGTCTTAGGAGTGGAACTCCATCATTAAGTGAGGAGAGGCTGTATTTCAAATCCTACCTTACTAACAGACATCAGTATGTCTCTATTAAGGACATAACCTCATCAACAACACCACTGTATACTGGAGTATCACAGGAGAGTGTCCTTGGTCCCCTGCTCTTTCTCTTATACAGTGGAACCTCAAAAATCGAACTGCTCCCAATACAACCAATTATGTAAGTGTATTTTTGTAAGTGCTTTTATAAGTGTATTTTTGAGGGTCTGAAATGGACTAATCTAATTTACATTATTCCTGATGGGAATAAATTCATTCGGTAAAGGCACTCGAGCAGCCTTCTGGACTGAAGAAAGTTCGATATTTGAGGTTCCACTGTACATCAGTTATCTTCTTAATGTATCACAACTTAACCTCTTTGCTGATGACACAACTTATGTCATCTCCCACCCTAATCTTGCCTCACTCAACACTATTGTTAATGAAGAGGTAGTAAAAATATCGACATTATGTTTGGGAGCAGAATAGGTGATGCCAACTGAACATTATGATTGACAACACTCTTATTGCTAAACATAATAAGGACAAATTCCTGAGTCTGCAACTTGATGGGTTTATGAAGGATGAGGTTAACCATAGAATTGATAAAGGAAAATAGGTGAGTGGTTCATTGCGGTATCTGTGGAGACAAAAAACGTTATCTGTGGAGGCAAAGAAGGGAATGTATGAAAGTATAGTAGTACCAACACTATTATATGGGTGTGAAGCTTGGGTGGTAAATGCAGCAGCGAGGAGACGGTTGGAGGCAGTGGAGATGTCCTGTTTAAGGGCAATGTGTGGTGTAAATATTATGCAGAGAATTCAGAGTGTGGAAATTAGGAGAAGGTGTGGAGTTAATAAAAGTATTAGTCAGAGGGCAGAAGAGGGGTTGTTGAGGTGGTTTGGTCATTTAGAGAGAATGGATCAAAGTAGAATGACATGGAGAGCGTATAAATCTGTAGGGGAAAGGAAGAGGGGTAGGGGTCGTCCTCTAAAAGGTTGGAGGGAGGGGGTAAAGGAGGTGTTGTGGGCGAGGGGCTTGGACTTCCAGCAAGCGTGTGTGAGCGTGTTAGATAGGAGTAAATGGAGAAGAATGGGTTTTGGGACTTGACAAGCTGTTGGAGTGTGAGCAGGGTAATATGTAGTGAAGGGATTCAGGAAAATTGGTTATTATAGATTTAGCCGGACTTGAGTCCTGGAAATGGAAAAGAAATCTCTGGGATATTGACAGTTTGGAGGGACTTCTAAATTGTCGTATCTGAGCGTCTCTGCAAAGACAATGATTATGTATGAGTGAGGTGAAAGTGTTGAATGATGATTAAAGTATTTTCTTTTTGGGGATTTTTTGTTCTTTTTGGGTCACTCTGCCTCGGTGAGAGACAGCCAACTTGTTGGAAAAAAAAAAAATCCAACATGCAAAAAAAATTTATCTAAAACAGTTGGGATCCTCTTAAAGATACATTACTATGTACCGCATTCAGCCCTACTCACACTGTACTATTCACTCATCCATCCCTAACTCACCTATGCTATTTGTGCCTGGGGATCAACAGCAGCAACCCACCTAAAACCAATAATAACCCAACAAAAAGCTGCAGTAAGAATTATGATGCAATCCAGTGCTAGACAATGCACCCCCGTCACTCTTCAAAGACGTAAACCTACTAACTGTTCAAAACATTCACACCTACCACTGTGCAACCTATATTTACAGAACCATAAATTCTAATATTAACCCTGGACTTAAACACTTTCTTGATAGTTGCAACAGGACCCATAGACACAATACCAAACACAAAAATCTCTATGATATTCCTCGTGTTCGGCTAAATCTCTACAAAAATGGCCATACATAAAACGGCCATACATAAAACAGCCTAAAATCTGGAACTCCCTGCCCGAAAGCTCTAGAACCGCAGACTCAACCACCATTTTCAAAACTACCGTTAAAAAACACCTTATTTCCTTATCACAACCCATCATCAGGTAACTATGCAAAAACCACCTGTTCTCTTTTTGGTATCGTGAACACATCCAAAATAAAGTAAACTTACTCTTATTATCTGTAATTCTCCCTATTTTACACTTACACTCTCCCAAATGACTGCAAATATAAAATTCCTAAAATAAGTTACTCTGTCTGACTTTTTTGGGTTATCCCAGGTTCTCTACACATATGTTGCTATGTATGATAATTCTATGTAACTGTGTATACCTGAATAAACTTACTTACTGCCTAATAAATCATAAGTTCTAAGTTTGCCTGAAATACTCTGCCAATATAGGAGCTTTTATAGAAACAGTGTGTCATGCCAAGATAAAACCATTCCCATTACTAAATTTTCTAATTGTACTATTGTTATATATTAATGATAATCACTCCAGTTATCTAACGTTTGTATCAGTATGCAATAATGTATATTAAAATGTACTGCTTCATAACCGGTCTCAATATAGAGTAAGAATTAGTATTAGTCTGTCAGAAATGCCTAGGCATGCTAGTGGCCTTCTTTGTAATTAATATTTTATAATATGTAAATGTTGGGTGTAAATGTTGCAGTTTAAAAACTGTAGTGTAAAGGACCCTTCTGGCAAGACAGTGATGGAGTGAATGATGGTGAAAGTTTTTCTTTTTCGGGCCACCCTGCCTTGGTGGGAATCGGCCAGTGTGATAAATAATAATAAATATGTAAACCCCACGTTGTAAACTTTGCCAGGAAATAAATATTTTCATTTTCTTGAACACGCTATTCTGTTTTCTTTTTTGAGGTGTGGGAGACCTGACAGGATGCTGTGTGTGTGTGTGTGTGTGTGTGTGTGTGTGTGTGTGTGTGTGTGTGTGTGTGTGTGTGTGTGTACTCACCTAGTTGTACTCACCTAGTTGAGGTTGCGGGGGTCGAGTCCGAGCTCCTGGCCCCGCCTCTTCACTGATCGCTACTAGGTCACTCTCCCCGAGCCGTGAGCTTTATCATACCTCTGTAGGATGTGTGTGTGTGTGTGTGTGTGTGTGTGTGTGTGTGTGTGTGTGTGTGTGTGTGTGCGTGTGCGCACTTGCACACTCATTTGTTTGCTTGTTTATCCATTTATATTTATGTATGTACAGTATATTTGTATTTTTATGCATGTATGTCTTATTAAACATTTTTATTGTTAACAAAAATTCCAAATTGACCACTGATATGGTTCCTTTACAACATGAACCTTTATGTAAGATTGACTTTATAGTTGAAAAAAACTAATAATTCAGAGTACAGTGGACCTCTGGTTCGCGATATTAATCCGTTCCTGAGAGCTCATCGTAAACTAAAAATTTTGTAAAGCAAATCAATTTTCCCCATGAGAAATAATGGAAATCAAATTAATTCGTGCAAGACACCCAAAAGTATGAAAAAAATAACTTTTACCACATGAAATATTAAGTTTAATGCACACAAACTGAAGAAGACATTCACAGTTTGTATGTACTCTACTAACAATAGAATACATGATACTTACCTTTAATGAAGATCTGGTGATGATTGATGGGATGGGAGGAGGGGAGTGTGTCGAATCTATTGTTTAGAAGGGGAATCCCCCTCCATTAGGACTTGAGGTAGCAAGTCCTTTTCCGGGGTTATTTCCCTTCTTTTTTTAATGCCACTAGGACCAGGTTGAGAGTCACTGGACCTCTGTCGCACAACATATCTGTCCATAGAGGCCTGTACCTCTCGTTTCTTTATGACGTTCCTAAAGTGGTTCACAACATTGTCAGTGTACAGGTTGCCATCACGGCTTGCAGTAGCTGTGTGAGGGTGATTTTCATCAAAAAAGGTTTTCACTTCAAGCCACTTTGCACACATTTCCTTAATCTTTGAAGTAGGCAACTTCTTCACTTTCTCCATTCCCTCCTCTGAAGCAGTTTCCTCAGGTCTGGCTTCTTGCTGTTGAAGATGATCTAGCAGCTCATCAGTGGTTAGTTCTTCATTGTTCTCCTCCACCAACTCTTCCTCATCCTCCCCACTAACCTCCAACCCCAAGGACTTCCCCAATGCCGCAATGGATTCCTCAACTGGCATAGGCTTCTCAGGGTTAGCCTCAAACCCTTTGAAATCCCTTTGGTCTACACATTCAGGCCACAGTTTCTTCCAAGCAGAGTTCAAGGTCCTCTTAGTCACTCCCTCCCAAGCCTTACCTATAATGTTTACACAATTGAGGATATTAAAGTGATCTCTCCAAAACTCTCTTAGAGTCAATTGAGTTTCTGTGGTCACTACAAAGCACTTTTGAAACAGAGCTTTTGTGTACAGTTTCTTGAAGTTGGAAATGACCTGCTGGTCCATGGGCTGCAGGAGAGGAGTGGTATTAGGAGGCAAAAACTTGACCTTAATGAAGCTCTTGTTCCCATAAAGTCGCTCTGCCAAGTCTGTAGGATGACCAGGGGCATTGTCTAACACCAGGAGGCACTTAAGGTCTAATTTCTTTTCAATTAGGTAATTTTTCACATTGGGGGCAAATGCATGGTGTAACCAGTCATAGAAAAAGTCCCTAGTGACCCATGCCTTACTGTTTGCCCTCCACAGCACACACAAATTAGCCTTGAGGATATTCTTTTGCCTTAACGCTCTGGGAGTTTCTGGGAGTTTCTGAGGCTTCACTTTGTAATCACCACTAGCATTGGCACACATCAGAAGAGTAAGCCTGTCTTTCATAGGCTTATGTTCTGGGAGTGCCTTTTCCTCATGAGTAATGTAGGTCCTGCTTGGCATTTTCTTCCAAAACAGGCCTGTTTCGTCACAATTAAACACTTGTTCAGGTTTCAAGTCTTCACTGTTTATGTAATCCTTGAATTCCTTCACATATTTTTCAGCTGCTTTTTGGTCTGAACTGGCAGCCTTACCATGCCTAATCACACTATGTATGCCACTACAATTCTTAAATCTTTCAAACCAACCTTTGCTTGCCTTAAATTCACTCACATCACCACTAGTTGCAGGCATTTTCTTTACCAAATCGTCATACAACTGCCTAGCCTTTTCACAAATGATCGCTTGAGAGATGCTATCTCCTGCTATCTATTTTTCATTTATCCACACCAATAACAGTCTCTCAACATTTTCTAACACTTGCGGTCGCTGTTTCGTAATCACAGTTGCACCTTTTGCAACAACAGCTTCCTTGATTGCCGTTTTCCTGGTCACTATAGTAGAGATGGTTGATTGGGGTTTTGTATACAACTTGGCCAGCTGCGACACACGCACTCCACTTTCGTACTTTGCAATTATCTGTTTCTTCATTTCAATAGTCATTAGCACCCTTGGTCTCGAAGGGTTGGCACTAGAAGTTTTGTTGGGGCCCATGGTGACTTATTTTGCAGAAACAAGCACCAAAAACACTGTGATAATATGGAATGTACCGAATGTATCCTTAGATGCGAGCACACTGGCTGGCTTGTAAACACTGGCACACACATGGCAGTTCAGGCCACACGTGGACATGTCTTGGACGAATCGCATATACCAGGTTTTGTAATGGGAACCGAGGCAAATTTTTTGCGATATACATGTAATGCATTGCATACTGGATTTATCGGATAGTGATGGCATCGCGAACCAAGGGCCCACTGTATTATTATGATTTATCTCCTTATAGACTCTGGTGTGTGTTACAAGACTGTATACAGGCAGACCCTTCTCATACAGCAGGTTAGGTTCCAGGCTACTGTAGGGCCCCACTTATACAGTAGGATTGGTTCTGGGCTACATAATCTGGAGGCTGATATAGTTTATTACCAGTATGAACTTTTTTCATGTTCTACAAGAACACCTTTCTGAGTAAAATTCACCAATACATGATAGTAAGATGATGTTTACCACACAGGCATGTCTACGAGCCGCTGCCATGTACACAGTGTGTGGAGACCAGTTGAGACAATCGAAGAGTGCTCGGGCTGGTCTGAACCTCTCAGTGGGCCGCTTCATGAGGTGGATGTGCGATGTCAGGATCGGAAAATTTATCCATGAGTAAGTATTGCATCTGTTTTTCCAACTCACCAGCAGTAACTTTATTCAGGTATGGGTGCACATAAATACAGTAAGTCCTTGTATTACGAATACAGCCTCTCCTGACTGAACGATGGAGTTCTGTGCCTAAGACCACATTGGTAAACGAATTCGTCACTAAGCAAGGAGCATACTATAATGGTAGTGGGTTTGTGTCAACCATCTTTGACATTGTTTTAATGTCACTTTTGTACCATTTATAACATTTCTGGTATACACTGGACCCCCGGTTTACGATCAGCTCCCAATGCGACCAATTATGTAAGTGTATTTATGTAAGTGCGTTTGTATGTGTATGTTTGGGGGTCTGAAATGGACTAATCTAATTCACAATATTCCTTATGGGAACAAATTCGGTCAGTACTGGCACCTGAACATACTTCTGGAATGAAATAATATCGTAAACCGGAAGTCCACTGTATTTTTAAATGTTTCTACAGTAGTGTACTGTGTATTGTTGAAGATTGAGACACTTATGCAGCATATGGGAATCTTTATTCAGGAAACGTTTCGCCACACAGTGGCTTCATCAGTGACTGATGAAGCCACTGCGTGGCGAAACGTTTCCTGAATAAAGATTCCCATATGCTGCATAACTGTCTCAATCTTCAACTTGTCGGTTTTTCAAACCATTCATCACAACTGTGTATTGTAATAAACAGAATAAATATTGCTAAGTGAAGAGAGGCTGTATTATACACATTACAGTTACATAAATTATCATACATAGCAGCATATGTGTAGGTTACCTAGAATAAGCCATCTCCCACTGAGGCCGGGTGACCTGAAAAAGAATAAATGAATAGTTTTCTTTTTAGATTTAGTAATTTATACAGAAGGTGTTTAAGTATCTCATGAATTATTATTTGTATTGATGAGGAATTAGATATATGCAACATATGAGTATCTTTACTTGTAGTTGTTTTGCCATCCAGTGGCAAAACATCTACAAGTTTGATGCAAGGAAGGGAAGAAGAGCTTCACTTCCTTGGATGAAGAGCTCTTCAGTAGTAACGAGGCATCTCCCCCGATGAAGTTTTTTATGAGATAGGTAAATTTTGCAAGATTTACCAATGTTATTGAAAATAATAGTACACAAATAACCTGCACGTTTCCATCCAACTTGGACCATTTACAAAGTCACTCTGTAAATGACTTTTAAAATGGTCCAGGTGGAACTGACACATCGTCATAAGCTTCTCTCTCCTACGTGCGGGTTATTTGTGTATTGTTCCAGTCTTTCTTCTTCTTTCAACAAACCGGCCATATCCCACCAAGGCAGGGTGGCCCAAAAAGAAAAACGAAAGTTTCTCTTTTTAAATTTAGTAATTTATACAATAGAAGGGGTTACTAGCCCCTTGCCCCCAATTGTTACAGTCACGGTATTGTAATTTTTGTTTCTAATAATAATAAATTTATTTCTTTTGTGTGGTACACAGATAATGTAGTTTGTGTGGTACACAGATAATGTAGTTTGTGTGGTACACAGATAATGTAGTTTGTGTGGTACACAGATAATGTAGTTTGTGTGGTACACAGATAATGTAGTTTGTGTGGTACACAGATAATGTAGTTTGTGTGGTACACAGATAATGTAGTTTGTGTGGTACACAGATAATGTAGTTTGTGTGGTACACAGATAATGTAGTTTGTGTGGTACACAGATAATGTAGTTTACATGAAATTAAATATTGTTAAGCACAAAAGCCACTAATATGCAGTGCATTTTGGCCAGACTAATACTAATGATTACAGTCTGGTGTGACATATTCAATGATAACAGTGTTCTCAGCTGTTGCGTTATGCTAAGACAGAGAGAGAGAGGAGGAGGAAGAAAGTAAGATGAAAGTCACGCATTTAATCATCCCATACAAGCAGCATCTGTCTACATATCTCCATTACATATATACAATTTTTGCAACATTTTTTTTGTTATTCACCGAAACAGTTCGAAGGCTGTTCTGGTTACTAAGGATGGTTGGTGATGCAAACAATGGTTCATGAAGTTAGCAGGCCCAGCACTGCTACCACTCAGCCTCACAGCTTACAATAGAATGCCTTTACAAGCAGCACTTCTATGACATGGTTGTACCAGTGACACCAACTGTGACTCATGTCTCATCCACAGTCCAGGAAAAATCATATGAAATGTACTTAAAAATATATTCTTTCTTCTTTCAACACACCGGCCATATCCCACCAAGGCGGGGTGGTCCTAAAGGAAAAACAAAAGTTTTTTTTTTTTTCAACAAGTCGGCCGTCTCCCACCGAGGCAGGGTGACCCACCGAGGCAGGGTGACCCACCAAGGCAGGGTGACCCACCGAGGCAGGGTGACCCACCGAGGCAGGGTGACCCACCGAGGCAGGGTGACCCACCGAGGCAGGGTGACCCACTGAGGCAGGGTGACCCAAAAAAGAAAGAAAATTCCCCAAAAGAAAATACTTTCATCATCATTCAACACTTTCACCACACTCACACATTATCACTGTTTTTGCAGAGGTGTTCAGAACACAACAGTTTAGAAGCATATACGTATAAAGATACACAATAAATCCCTCCAAACTGCCAATATCCCAAACCCCTCCTTTAAAGTGCAGGCATTGTACTTCCCATTTCCAGGACTCAAGTCCGACTATATGAAAATAACCGGTTTCCCTGAATCCCTTCACTAAATATTACCCTGCTCACACTCCAACAGATCGTCAGGTCCCAAGTACCATTCATCTCCATTCACTTCTATCTAACATGCTCATGCACGCTTGCTGGAAGTCCAAGCCCCTCGCCCACAAAACCTCCTTTACCCCCTCTCTCCAACCCTTGCGAGGACGACCCCTACCCCGCCTTCCTTCCCCTATAGATTTATATGCTTTCCATGTCATTCTACTTTGATCCATTCTCTCTAAATGACCAAACCACCTCAACAACCCCTCTTCTGCCCTCTGACTAATACTTTTATTAACTCCACACCTTTTCCTGATTTCCACACTCCGAATTTTCTGCATAATATTTACACCACACATTGCCCTTAAACAGGACATCTCCACTGCCTCCAACCGTCTCCTCGCTGCTGCATTTACCACCCAAGCTTCACACCCATATAAGATTGTTGGTACTACTATACTTTCATACATTCCCTTCTTTGCCTCCATAGATAATGTTTTTTTACTCCACATATACCTCAATGCACCACTCACCTTTTTTCCCTCATCAATTCTATGATTAACCTCATCCTTCATAAATCCATCCGCCGACGCGTCAACTCCCAAGTATCTGAAAACATTCACTTCTTCCATACTCCTCCTCCCTAATTTGATATCCAATTTTTCTTTTTCTAAATCATTTGATACCCTCATCACCTTACTCTTTTCTATGTTCACTTTCAACTTTCTACCTTTACACACATTCCCAAACTCATCCATAACCTTTGCAGTTTCTCTTTAGAATCTCCCATAAGCACAGTATCATCAGCAAAAAGTAACTGTGTCAATTCCCATTTTGAATTTGATTCCCCAAAATAGGTAGTAGGTTGGTAGACAGCAACCATCCAGGGAGGTACTACCGTCCTGCCAAGTGAGTGTAAAACGAAAGCCTGTAATCGTTTTACATGATGGTAGGATTGTTGGTGTCTTTTGTCTGTCTCATAAATATGCAAGATTACAGGTATGTCTTGCTACTTCTACTTACACTTAGGTCACACTACACATACATGTACATGTTTATTTATACACACTCATCTGAGTTTTCTTTGATTTTATCTTAATAGTTCTTGGTCTTATTACTTTTCCTTTTATATCCATGGGGAAGTGGAATAAGAATCTTTCCTCCGTAAGCCATGCGTGTTGTAAAAGTTAACTAAAATGCCGGGAACAATGGGCTAGTAACCCCTTTTCCTGTAAAGATTACTAAAAAGAATAAGAAAAACAAAAGTTGCTCCTTTTAAATTTAGTAATATAGACAGTAGAAGGGGTTACTAGCCCCTTGCTCCCGGCATTTTAGTCGCCTCTTACAACACACATGACTTACAGAGGAAGAATTCTATTCCCCTTCCCCATGGAGATAAGAAATAAACAAGGATAAGAGAAAAATAGAAGAAAACCCAGAGGGTTGTGTATATATATGCTTGTACATGTATGTGTAGTGTGACCTAAGTGCAAGTAGAAGTAGCAAGACGTACCTGAAGCCTTACATGTTTATGAGACAGACAAATGGACACCAGCAATCCTACCATCATGTAAAACAATTACAGGCTTCCATTTTACACTAGCTTGGCAGGACGGTAGTGCCTCTCTGGGCGGTTGTTGTCTACCAACTTTGATATTTCAGAGTTGGAGACATTTTTCAGCATCAATTTTTAGTTAAAATATGTATATTACTACATTTTTAGTTGCATCTTACTGTACAGAAGTGAATGACATTTAGGTGTGCATGCAGAAAGCCCCTTAATATGCAAAGTAGTTCCCGCAAACTCAAGATTATCTTAAGTTTTTAATACTCATATGCCTCTGAGTTGGTAAATATACACTCATGATATGTATTAATTCTCATGTGTTTGAGCTAATTCTACTCTTAAGTTTAATTAGGCAATGATTTATTGATTGCTTATATATGCAGTTACTAATAGAGTCATTCATTGACACTTTGGTTTACTTTCTAACAACTTTTATTAATTTCTAGGTATGCTGCAGTGTACCTGACGGCTGGTATGGAGAATTTATTGGAAGAAATGGTACTGCAGTGTCTGCCAGCGGAAGATGACCACATGTTGACAGCCAGTGTTCTCGAACATGCTATTGCCAACAATGGGGACCTCTGGGGTCTATTGCAACCGTATGCTCACCTCAACGCCGGCAGAACGGCTACTGGTACAGTCTCTTGTTTACACAGATAACCTGCACACAAGAGAGAGAACTTCATAGGGCAGTGGAAGAGAATTCTTCCAAAGTCATGTGTGTTGTAAGAGGTGATTAAAATGCCAGGAGCAAGGTGCTAGTAACACCTTCTCCTGTATACTTTACTAAATTTAAAAAGGGAAATTTCCATTTTTCATTTTAGGTCACCCTGCCTCTGTGGGACATGGCAAAAAAAAGCTCATGACGACGTATCGGTCCAAGTGGGACCGAAACGTCGTTGTAGGTTTCTCTCTCCTATGTGCGGGTTATTTGTGTATTATCCCAGTCACGGTATTGTGACTTTTTGTTCTTTAGTCTCTTGTTTATCCTCCATCTCATTTTGTCTCTTGTTTACCTCCATCTCATTTAGTCTCTTCTTTATCCTCCATCTCATTTTGTCTCTTGTTTATCCTCCATTTCATTTAGTCTCTTGTTTATCCTCCATCTCATTTAGTCTCTTGTTTATCCTCCATCTCATTTAGTCTCTTGTTTATCCTCCATCTCATTTAGTCTCTTGTTTATCCTCCATCTCATTTAGTCTCTTGTTTATCCTCCATCTCATTTAGTCTCTTGTTTATCCTCCATCTCATTTAGTCTCTTGTTTACCCTCCATCTCATTTTGTCTCTTGTTTATCCTCCATCTCGTTTAGTCTCTTGTTTATCCTCCATCTCGTTTAGTCTCTTGTTTATCCTCCAACTCATTTTGTCTCTTGTTTATCCTCCATCTCGTTTAGTCTCTTGTTTATCCTCCATCTCATTTAGACTCTTGTTTATCCTCCATCTCATTTTGTCTCTTGTTTATCCTCCATCTCATTTAGTCTCTTGTTTATCCTCCATCTCATTTAGTCTCTTGTTTATCCTCCATCTCATTTTGTCTCTTGTTTGTCCTCCATCTCATTTTGTCTCTTGTTTATTCTCCATCTCATTTAGTCTCTTGTTTATCCTCCATCTCATTTAGACTCTTGTTTATCCTCCATCTCATTTTGTCTCTTGTTTATCCTCCATCTCATTTAGTCTCTTGTTTATCCTCCATCTCATTTTGTCTCTTGTTTATCCTCCATCTCATTTAGTCTCTTGTTTATCCTCCATCTCATTTTGTCTCTTGTTTATCCTCCATCTCATTTAGTCTCTTGTTTATCCTCCATCTCATTTTGTCTCTTGTTTATCCTCCATCTCATTTAGTCTCTTGTTTATCCTCCATCTCATTTAGACTCTTGTTTATCCTCCATCTCATTTTGTCTCTTGTTTATCCTCCATCTCATTTAGTCTCTTGTTTATCCTCCATCTCATTTTGTCTCTTGTTTATCCTCCATCTCATTTAGTCTCTTGTTTATCCTCCATCTCATTTTGTCTTGTTTATCCTCCATCTCATTTTGTCTCTTGTTTATCCTCCATCTCATTTTGTCTCTTGTTTATCCTCCATCTCATTTTGTCTCTTGTTTATCCTACATCTCATTTTGTCTCTTGTTTATCCTACATCTCATTTAGTCTCTTGTTTATCCTCCATCTCATTTAGACTCTTGTTTATCCTCCATCTCATTTTGTCTCTTGTTTATCCTCCATCTCATTTAGTCTCTTGTTTATCCTCCATCTCATTTTGTCTTGTTTATCCTCCATCTCATTTAGTCTCTTGTTTATCCTACATCTCATTTAGCCTCTTGTTTATCCTCCATCTCATTTAGTCTCTTGTTTATCCTCCATCTCATTTTGCAAATTGCTGTCTTTATTATTATTATTATTATTATTATTATTATTATTATTATTATTATTATTATTATTATTATTATTATTATTATTATTATTATTATTATTATTATTATTATGATAGTTCTGATACAAATACAAATATTTTTTTTATATCTTAATATGGTACAAAAATAATATAAGAATGAGACACTTGTGCAATATTTTGGAATCTTTATTGAGGAAACATTTTGCCAGCCAGTGGCTTCTTCAGTCCAATACAAGGAATAACAGTGGAAGATGAGGAGTTGGAGGGTATCAGTCCCTCAGCCAGTAATGGTACAAGTTACAGTAGAAGTACAGTGGAACCAGTACTTGCGAGTTTAATCTGTTCCATGACTTTGCTCGCAACTGGATTTGCTTGTTTGCAGAGTCAATTTTCCTCATTTAAATTAACTGAAATGCAATTAATCCGTTCCTGTGGAATTCTGTACTTCAATAATTTCGTTAATATCATCTATACGGCTTATTTATCTATCAAAGTTCATCTAATATGACATAACAAACAATATAAATAACATAGAAATATGATATATATCCTAGAATGAATAAAATATGTCATTCATGTAGTGGTATGGGCGGTGTCAGCTGTGTCGGCGGTGTCGGCTCTTTCGGCGGTGTCGGCGGTGGACGAGAGTTTGTCTGGAGACCAATGAAAATACTTCATGAATAATTTCGCTAATATCATCTATACGGCTTATTTATATATCACAGTTCATCTAATATGACTTAACAGACAATATAAATAACATAGAAATATGATATATATCCTAGAATGAATAAAATATGTCATTATGTAACAGATGGAGGCGGCCACAACCGCTCCCTCTTTGTTGTGGTAAACACTGCCATCTAGTGATGGCCTTTTGAAGCCATCTATTATTTATTTTATTATTTTTTATTATCACACTGGCCGATTCCCACCAAGGCAGGGTGGCCCGAAAAAGAAAAACTTTCACCATCATTCACTCCATCACTGTCTTGCCAGAAGGGTGCTTTACACTACAGTTTTTAAACTGCAACATTAACACCCCTCCTTATTATTTTTATATATGTATTATTATTATACATATTATTTTCTTATTATGATTATTATTGTATTATATTATTATACTATTATTATTATATGTATTATTATTATACATATTATTATACATTATTATTATTATTATTATTATTATTATTATTATTATTATTATTATTATTATAATATAAATAATTTGTAATTTTTATTCGCACAAAAAATATAAGATTTACTGTTATTCCCTATTGCAATAATTGTATAAATATGTGGCCCGGTGGCCTGGTGGCCCGGTGGCCTGGTGGCCCGGTGGCCTGGTGGCCCAGTGGCCTGGTGGCCCAGTGGCCTGGTGGCCCGGTGGCCCGGTGGCCTGGTGGCTAAAGCTCCCGCTTCACACACGGAGGGCCCGGGTTCGATTCCCGGCGGGTGGAAACATTTCGACACGTTTCCTTACACCTGTTGTCCTGTTCACTTAGCAGCAAATAGGTACCTGGGTGTTAGTCGACTGGTGTGGGTGGCATCCTGGGGGACAAGATTAAGAACCCTAATGGAAATAAGTTAGACAGTCCTCAATGACGCACTGACTTTCTTGGGTTATCCTGGGTGGCTAACACTCCGGGGTTAAAAATCCGAACGAAATCTTATCTTATCTTAACCCATTCACGACTGCATATGGACCAATTCTCCTAAGTTGAGCTCTATTTCAATGTACTTTTCATCATGAAAGCAATTAAGAATCATATTTATTTCTGTAATATATCTCCATTCTATCAAATGAGACCAAAAAAAATGAGATTACAACCATAAAAACATATGAAAATATCGCTAAGGGGCGGCTAATTGCTGAGAAGTGAACTCAATTATTTGTGCTTAGATTTCTTTCATTTTTGGTGTACGTTAAGAAGCATCTTTCCATCATACATTGCCCAAGTTTCAATAAGATAGTCCAACAAACAAATGAGATGCAATTCCCGAGATCAAGAGCAAGAGCTCCTCACCAGCGTCAAGGAACCTGCCTTGAGGTCTGCTCGCTTGTGGAAATTTTGCTCGCCTATGGAAGCAAAAAATCAACCCATCGACTGCTCGTATTTGGAAAAACTCACACGTGGACACGCTCACAAGTAGAGGTTCCACTGTATAATGGTACAAGTCATAATAGAAGTATAATGGTACAAGTTACAGTAAGTTACTATCATAATTTTCATTGGGCCATGCAGCAGCAACTGAGGAATAGGAGGCAGAAAGGGTTTGATCCAATTCCTTGGATCAAAAAAACTTAAAAAACCTCCCCTTCCCTCCTTCAGGGGTCAGGTTAAGTCTATAGGATTTTTTCCGCATGTAAATAGGTTACATTACTTAAATAGAACTTTGTTTTAATTGATAGTGTTATTAATTGGTTCTGGCCCCTGAAATCGGGTGATTCGGAAAAGGAAACACCTTCACCATCATTCCTTTAGTGGCTGCCTTGCTGGAAGTGTGCTGATGTTGCAGTTTAAATGACCCCCAGAACTGCACCAAGAATTTATATGCATGTTTCAATGTGAGGTTAATTGTCGTAAGCGTTGCTTATTTGAACTGGTGGTCGAAGTGTCATTATGTGTTAATGCGTCCTTATCAGGGTGTCCCGTGGCTGTGTTGGTAGCGCACTTGCCTCACACACTGAGGTCCGTGGTTTGATCCCTGGTTCTGGTGGAAATATTAGGATGTACTTCCTTAAGACACCTGCTGTCACTGTTCACCTAGCAGTAAGTAGGTATGTGGGTGTTTGTGGACTGTTGTGGGTGGCATCCTGGGGACAAAATTAACCTAAGTTGCTGGAAATGTTCTACATAACCAGGAACTTTCTGTATAGTATGTCATTGATGTCAGCTATGGTTTGTGTGGTGAACACTTTACAGGGTTGAGGGACTGATCACTTTGAACTACTTAACGTCTTCCTCAGTCGGTCAGACATCCCCACAGTTAAGATATACAAGTGTTACACTGTGTCATATATACAAGTTTTATACTGTGTCTTATATACAAGTGTTACACTGTGTCTCATTGTACACTTTGACTGTGTCTCATTGTAAACTTTGTTTGACTGTGTCTCATTGTAAACTTTGTTTGACTGTGTCTCATTGTAAACTTTGTTTGACTGTGTCTCATTGTAAACTTTGTTTGACTGTGTCTCATTGTAAACTTTGTTTGACTGTGTCTCACTTTAACCCTTAAACTGTCCAAACATAGATCTACGTTCACGTGCATAGCGCTCCGACCTTGATTTTCCCCATTTGAAAGCATGTAAAAAAAACATAGATCTACATTCGGAGCTTGCCACACATCAACGTATATCTACGTGTGGACAGTTTAAGGGTTAAACTGTGTCCCACTGTAAACTTAGTTTGTGTCTCATTGTAAACTTTGTTTAGGTGCTCTGTGTTTGCCACGATGGGCAAGTACGTGCAGCATCGAGGCAGCCTCTGTCAGTGGATCCTCCACTGGTGCCAGCAGAGGAAGCGGAGGCAGTGGTGCCAGCTCAGGAGGCGCAACTGGAAGTGGTGGAGCTTCGACCACTACGTCGGGAGCCAGTGAGGGCAGCGGCAGTGGAGGCTCCGGCAGCGGTAATGGCGGACCTCAGCCGTCGAGGTGTTCCTCCAGCATGACACTCACTCCAGAGGAACACTCCAGGAGCAGCAAGGTATGGAATATACTACGAATATTGGGTCCAGGAACTGTACCTCAATATTACAGGGGTACATAATGGGTCCAGGGACAGTACCTCAATATTACAGAGGTTCATAATGGGTCCAGGGACTGTACCTCAACATTACAGAGGTACATAATAGGTCCAGGGACTGTACTGCAACATTACAAAGGTACATAATGGGTCCAGGGACTGTACCTCAACATTACAGAGATACATAATAGGTCCAGGGGAATTTACCTCAACATTACAGAGATACATAATGGGTCCAGGGACTGTACCCCAACATTACAGAGATACATAATGGGTCCAGGGACTGTACCTCAACATTACAGAGATACATAATGGGTCCAGGGACTGTACCCCAACATTACAGAGATACATAATGGGTCCAGGGACTGTACCTCAACATTACAGAGATACATAATGGGTCCAGGGACTGTACATCAACATTACAGAGATACATAATGGGTCCAGGGACTGTACCTCAACATTACAGAGATACATAATGGGTCCAGGGACTGTATCCCAACATTACAGAGATACATAATGGGTCCAGGGACTGTACCTCAACATTACAGAGATACATAATAGGTCCAGGGACTGTACCCCAACATTACAGAGATACATAATAGGTCCAGGGACTGTACCTCAACATTACAGAGATACATAATAGGTCCAGGGACTGTACCTCAACATTACAGAGATACATAATAGGTCCAGGGACTGTACCTCAACATTACAGAGATACATAATAGGTCCAGGGACTGTACCTCAACATTACAGAGATACATAATGGGTCCAGGGACTGTACCTCAACATTACAGAGATACATAATGGGTCCAGGGACTGTACCTCAACATTACAGAGATACATAATAGGTCCAGGGACTGTACCTCAACATTACAGAGATACATAATGGGTCCAGGGACTGTACCTCAACATTACAGAGATACATAATAGGTCCAGGGACTGTACCTCAACATTACAGAGATACATAATAGGTCCAGGGACTGTACCTCAACATTACAGAGATACATAATAGGTCCAGGGACTGTACCTCAACATTACAGAGATACATAATGGGTCCAGGGACTGTACCTCAACATTACAGAGATACATAATGGTCCAGGGACTGTACCTCAACATTACAGAGATACATAATAGGTCCAGGGACTGTACCTCAACATTACAGAGATACATAATGGGTCCAGGGACTGTACCTCAACATTACAGAGATACATAATAGGTCCAGGGACTGTACCTCAACATTACAGAGATACATAATAGGTCCAGGGACTGTACCTCAACATTGTTATAGCAGCTAGGCATACTAGTGGCTTTCTTTATAATTAATATTTTATATGTAAAAAACACATTGTACGCTTTGCAAGGAAAAGAGCATTTCCATTTTCAAATTGAATTTTTTGTTAATTTTCTGCATTATAAAGATAATGTACTTAACATGCATAAAATATTATTAGGCACAAAGGAAGGCCAGAGTTACTGCTATCTTCAAGATAAGATAAGATAAGATTTCGTTCGGATTTTTAACCCCGGGGGGTTAGCCACCCAGGATAACCCAAGAAAGTCAGTGCGTCATCGAGGACTGTCTAACTTATTTCCATTGGGGTCCTTAATCTTGTCCCCCAGGATGCGACCCACACCAGTCGACTAACACTCAGGTACCTATTTGCTGCTAGGTGAACAGGACAACAGGTGTAAGGAAACATGTCGGAATGTTTCCACCCGCCGGGAATCGAACCCGGGCTGTCCATGTGTGAAGCGGGAGCTTTAGCCACCAGGCCACCGGGGCAAAAATAGTAGATCTGATGTCGGCAACTATAGGTCTGTTAATATACTCAGTGTAATATCCAGAATTCTAGAGAGGGCGGTGTACTATCAAGTAGCTTGATCGCTAGCGCACTCAGCTCACACACTGAGGTCCGGAGTTCAAATCTCCTCCGGTGCGGCTAGAAATATTAGGGACGTGTTTCCATAAGACACCTGCTGTCCCTGTCCCTGTTCACCCATCAGTTTAAAATGGGTACCTGGGTGTTAGTCAACTGGTATGGGTTGCATCCTGGGACAAAACCGACCTAATTTGCCCAAAATGCTCAGCATAACAAGCGGCTTTCTATATAGTAGTATGTCATTGATGTCAGCTATGATCTGTATACCTTGTACATGTACTTGTAGTAAATAAAAATATTATTATTATTATTTTTAAAAGTAGTTAAGTATCTTAATGATGACAACATTCTTCATAGTTACCAATCAGGCTTTAGGAGCTCTTACTCAACCGACACCTCACTAATTAATCTGATGGATTACATGAGAACTGAAATGTCAATAGGGAACCACACAGGAATGGTAACCTTAAACTTGTAAAAGGCCTTCGATACTGTCAACCACAATACATTATGCAAGAAATTTCATGCTATCGGTATAGGTTCTGTAGACTGGTTTAAGTCCTGTCTTAGCATTAGGAAACAAATTGTCAAAATCAGCAAAGCAGAATCAGAACCCCTGCCAATAACATGTGGAGTTCCCCAAGGTAGTATTCTGGGTCCCTTATTATTTTTGTGTTATGTAAATGATATGCCCATCAGTGTCAAGTGCAAATTCCTAATGTGTGTGAATGACAGTGCTCTGTTAGTGTCAGGTAAAGACCCACAAGATATAGCTAATGTAATAACACTAGAACTGGAGTCCTGCAGCAAATGGTTAGTAGACAACAAACTGTCGTTACACCTCGGGGAAACAGAAGCTGTACTCTTTGGCATGAAACATAAACTGAGAAGGGTAAATAATTTTAATGTCCGGTGTAATGGGGAACATATCACTTCAGTTTCCTCAGTAAGATATCTGGGAATCTCCTTTGACTCTCCAGATAAACCATACATGTCAGGAGAATTGATAGGGAACAGTGTAGTAAAGAAAGCGAATGCCAGACTGAAGTTCCTCTACAGACAAACACAGTGTCTACCTACTGAGGATCACAGGCCCCTATGTCTAGCCCTTATACAATGTCATATGGGCTACACTTGCTCTTCATGGTACTCTGCCTTGACAAAATAAACTGAAAGATAAACTGCAAATCGCCCAGAAGAAAATGGTAAGATTCATCCTGGACCTGGGTCCAAGAGGACATGTAAGCCAGGATGAATTACAACAATTGGATATGATGAAGTTAAATCAAGTTTATAAAATTGCTCACAAACTGTGTCCAGAATATCTTGCTGCAAATTTTGTCAAGGTTGTGAACCAAAGCAATCATAGTACTAGGGGGAGAGAGCACAACTTTGTAGTAGCCACAGTCAGTGGCCAGGCTTCAAACACCTTTTATTGTACAGCAATAAAGGAATAGAACAGACTGCCCGCACATGTCAAAGCCAGTCATAGCATGAACCAGTTCAAGAAGAGTGCGAGGAGAATGATTTTTTATTTTTTTAGGTAACACACATGTAAATGTAAATAACTCTTTTTACCTTATTCCTAGTATATATCCTTTATAGTATAATAATAAGATATTATGCCCTACCTTGTATAATAATAAGGTATTAAAAGGATCCCAATGGAAATAAGTCACTTGGTCTGACTTTTTTGGGTAATCGTAGGTTCTCTATGCATTTGCTGCTATGTATGATAACACTGTATAATGCAATTTTTTTCCTGGTGAGTAAGTGTTATTTTCCAACTCCTTTTATTGCAAAGCGATAGAAAATACACATTATTCCTTTTAAACTTTGCCTTTGTAGCTAACAGGATGAATTTTTGACAAAAAATGGCTAAATTTCAATATTTTTTTTATATTTTTGGATGTAAAACAAAAACATATAATAAAATAATTAAAATTTACATAAAATACAATTTACACAAATTTTATTTTAAACTTTCTGAAACATATTTACAAAGTTAAAAATGAGCAGTTTTTCTAGATTTCCGAACATGTAACAAATTGCTTTCCCGTTTAAGCCTCCAAATGTTGTCTCCCATAATGTTTTTATTATAAGAGCCCTGATATCTGTGTTCAAAGTTCATTATATCTTGGTGGAAGAGCTCCCCTTGCTCCTCTGAGTATACTCAAATATTCTCCTTGAAATTGTCAAGATGAGCATCAAGGATATGGACCTTAAGGGACATCCTACAGCCCATCTGACCATAGCTTTTTACCAAGGTCTCAACAAGTTCCACAAAATTGTCAGCCTTGTTGTTGCCCAGAAAGCTCTGTGCTACACCAACAAAACTCTCACAGGCTTCCTTGTCCTTCTCTGTGAACTTCTTTGGAAATTCTGAGCACACCATGATTTTCCTGACTTTCAGTCGAGTGAAGATGCCAGCTTTAACCTTTGCCTCTGATAGCTTGGGAAAGAAGTCTTGAAGACACTTGAAGGCTGCAGACTCTTTGTCAAGAGCTGTAACAAACTGTTTCATTACCCCTAGTTTGATGTGTGGAGGGAACAGAACCTTTTGAGGATCCACCAATGGTTTATGCTTGATATTACGTCTTCCTACTGAGAACTCAGTTCTTCGAGGCCAGTGCTTCCTCTGGTAATGTGCTGCTCTGTCTCTACTATCCCAGTGACAGAGATAACAGGGAAACTTTGTAAAACCTCCTTGGAGTCCCATCAAAAATACCACCATTTTGAAGTCTCCAGTATACTCCCAGCCATATTTATCATAGTTCAAAGCTTCCAATAGAAGTTTGACACTGTTGTAGTCCTCCTTAAGATGCATTAAATGAGTCAAGGGAAGAGATGGATACTTGTTCCCATTGTGTAGAAGTACAGCTTTTAGGCTTCTGGAGGAGCTGTCAGTGAAGAGTCTCCACTCATCAGGATTGCATGTAATTACAATTGCATCAAACAGGCCTGATACATCATTCCAGTAGCACAACCTGTCTTCATTACTGAAGAAGCTTAAGAAATGTTGGTGATGTTTTCTTTGGCTTGTCATCCGCACACTTTCATCCACCAAGTCTCACTCCTTGAGTCTTGGAATCAAAAGCTCAACATTTGACTTTGTAGATGAATGGTTCAGAGAACCGACATGTTGTTGAATTAGACACATGTACAACTCTTGGGTATCTTTATTGAGGAAACATTTCGCCACACAGTGGCTTCATCAGTCCTTATAAAGGAGAAGCTTGAAGAACAGGAGGAGAATGAGGTAATCAGTCCCTCAGCCTTGAGTCGATGTGGTCAGTCCATCAATCTTGAATGGTATTCTATTCAGGATAAGAAATAGCAGGTGCATTTTCCCCAGTTCGGTGTTTGGAAGGATCCACCAGACAGAAGCAGCAGTTGGTTGAGTGATCAGCGGGTTCACGTCATATTCCAGGAACACCAAACATCACGGCTCTTTTTTCTCCTCTATACCATCCTGTAAAAGATTAAAAGAATTTGTTTCTGTTACATACATATCATTTAAAAATTTTCCTATTCAAGATTTTACCCTTCATACAACTAATGACTTTCTTACCTTCCAATGTTTTCTTACAATGTTTACAAGCAACATGAGGCGCCCAGGTCTTGTCTTGGTCCACAACTGACATAACAAAATATGCTTTATAAGCTCCACACATTTTTTGTAGATGGTGTTACAGAGAATTTCTTTGTTTTTAATGAATTGACCACATATGTAGCAGAATGCATCTGGAGAATGATTGCAGCCTCTTGATGCCATTTCTTTTTTTCTGATGTGTCTTCTCAGGCAGCCAGAGCTGAACTGAATGCTGGTTTGTGAGCTCCTGTTTTTATATTTGCCAAGGAAAACCCTAGAATATAATAGTTTTACATCATTCTTTCTTGAAAGTGTTCCAGAAGTGTCCTGACCACAAGAGTAAAGTTTTGGGATCAAAATAGCTTTTTTAAATTTTGTTTAGTTATAAGGAATTGGGAAATGTTGCTTATTTCCCAGGAACACGACAAAAGTGAAATTTTCTTACATAGTGTAATGTATATAACTGTATTTATGTATACCTGAATAAACTTACTTACCATTAACATGCAGTGCATTTCAAGTAATTGGATGATTTAAAAATTTCTTACGTTATTCGCCAGACACTGGAGCAGTCACTGCTGACAACATGCGTGGGATCCCTGGCCGAGCTGAGCGAACTACTGAGCCGCGTGGCACCGCACCATCACCGCGCTGCCAACAGCAACTCGCCAACACGGGCTCAGGTCAGTGCTGGCTTGAGGAGGAGGGTGTCCCGCGGGTCAATGCCCCTGCCGCTTAGTCGATGACCAGGCCTCATTTGACCAGTTAAAATAAAATCACTTAAAACTTTTTGGGGTTTTCTGGTGGGTAATTTACACTATGTATGATGGTTGTACTTATGTGTATCCGTGTCTAAATAAGCATAATTTTTGCAAAACCAATATTGCAGTCGATTACTGAAATTTGAGATGGATCGCGGTCAAAGGCATTGCAAAGCGATGATCTGTTCTACATAATCCACTGAGAATATGGAGATTTCAAAGCATTATGGTACAGATAAAAGACTATATCAGGTACTATCAGACTGTCAACAAAATGGCACTAGTATACACTTCATAATGGTACTAGTATAGGTGAAGTAGAGCTTGATCATACAGAATGTGAAAAAGACTTGGGAGTCATGGTAAGCAGAAATCTAAAGCCAAGACAGCAGTGCCTTAGTGTGCGCAACAAGGCCAACAGATTACTTGGATTTATCTCAAGAAGTATAAGTAACAGAAGTCCAAAAGTTATTTTACAGCTCTATACATCACTAGTGAGGCCTCATTTGGATTATGCTGCTCAGTTTTGGTCCCCTTACTACAGGATGGATATAGACTCATTAGAGAACATAAAGAAAAAAATGACTAAAATGATTTACTGTGTAAGGAACCTCCCGTATGAAGACAGACTTAAAGCCTTAAATCTCCACTCTCTGGAGAGGCGTAGAATGAGGGGAGATATCATTGAAGTGTATAAGTGGATGACGGGCATAAACAAGGGAGACATTAATAAAGTACTGAGGGTGTCGAACCAGGTAAGAACCAGGAATAATGGATTTAAGTTGGATAAATTTAGATTTAGAAAGGACATAGGTAAGTACTGGTTTTCTAACAGAGTTGTAGATGCGTGGAACAGTCTTCCCAGTGGGGTGATAGAGGCTAGGACCTTGGGTAGCTTTAAGAAGAGACTGGACAAATATATGAGTGGGAAGGGCTGGGTTTGATTGGTGTCATTGGGTATGGGAGTTATTTCCAGGGAAGCTTTAGGTAGTAGTCGTTTTGATAAGGACCTGCCTCGCATGGGCCAGTAGGCCTTCTGCAGTGTTCCTCCATTCTTATGTTCTTATGTTCATAATGGTACTAGTATACACTTCATAATGGTACTAGTATACACTTCATAATGGTACTAGTATACAGTTTATAATCAAATCTTTATTTCTTTTCTGCAGTATAGAGAAAACAGTTTGTATGTAATAAAACATTGTTAGACACACAACAAAGCCACTAACAATGTTAGACACACAACAAAGCCACTAACATCCTGTACATTTTGGACAATTATTATTATTTTTTTTATTATCACACTGGCCGATTCCCACCAAGGCAGGGTGGCCCGAAAAAGAAAAACTTTCACCATCATTCACTCCATCACTGTCTTGCCAGAAGGATGCTTTATACCACAGTTTTTAAACTGCAACATTAACACCCCTCCTTCAGAGTGCAGGCACTGTACTTCCCATCTCCAGGACTCAAGTCCGGCCTGCCGGTTTCCCTGAACCCCTTCATAAATGTTACTTTGCTCACACTCCAACAGCACGTCAAGTATTAAAAACCATTTGTCTCCATTCACTCCTATCAAACACACTCACGCATGCCTGCTGGAAGTCCAAGCCCCTCGCACACAAAACCTCCTTTACCCCCTCTCTCCAACCTTTCCTAGGCCGACCCCTACCCCGCCTTCCTTCCACTACAGACTGATACACTCTTGAAGTCATTCTGTTTCGCTCCATTCTCTCTACATGTCCGAACCACCCAAACAACCCTTCCTCAGCCCTCTGGACAACTGTTTTGGTAATCCCGCACCTCCTCCTAACTTCCAAACTACGAATTCTCTGCATTATATTCACACCACACATTGCCCTCAGACATGACATCTCCACTGCCCCAGCCTTCTCCTCGCTGCAGCATTCATCACCCATGCTTCACACCCATATAAGAGCGTTGGTAAAACTATAATCTCATACATTCCCCTCTTTGCCTCCAAGGACAAAGTTCTTTGTCTCCACAGACTCCTAAGTGCACCACTCACTCTTTTCCCCTCATCAATTCTATGATTCACCTCATCTTTCATAGACCCATCCGCTGACACGTCCACTCCCAAATATCTGAATACATTCACCTCCTCCATACTCTCTCCCTCCAATCTGATATTCAATCTTTCATCACCTAATCTTTTGGACAAACTAATCCTAATTCTTAAATGAACAATGAACCTATCACACGATTTTCAATTTTGGCCAGACTTTTTAAGTTCAACTTTCCAAAAAATACTGCTACCATGACTACAATCTTTCCTGCCTCTATAAATACTGTATTCTAAAATATCTTATAATCTCATATTCTAACTGATCATGGTTTGAGGAAACCAATTTGAACTAAGGCACTCTTGGTCAGTAAACTCTAGTTCTTTTTTTCTTTAGCCCTTAAACTGTCCAAACGTAGATCTACGTTTGCACACATAGCTCTGGAACTAATCTTGTCACAGACCTTTGCACTTTCTCTAATTTCTTGATGTGCTTGATCAAGTGTTGGTTCCAAACTGGTGCTGCATACTCCAGTATGGGCCTGACGTACACAGTGTACAGTGTCTTGAACGATTCCTTACTGAGGTATTGGAACGCTATTCTCAGGTTTGCCAGGCGCCCATATGCTGCAGCAGTTATCTGGTTGGTGTGTGCTTCCGGAGACATGCTCGATGTTATACTCACCCCAAGATCTTTCTCCTTGAGTGAGGTTTGCAGTCTTTGGCCACCTAGCCTATACTCTGTCTGCGATCTTCTTTGCCCTTCCCCGATCTTCATGACTTTGCATTTGGCAGGGGTAAATTCGAGAAGCCAGTTGGTGGACCAGGTGTCCAGCCTGTCCAGATCTCTTTGAAGTCCTGCCTGATCCTCATCTGATTTAATTCCCCTCATTAACTTCACATCATCTGCAAACAGGGACACTTCTGAGTCTATCCCTTCCATCATGTCATTCACATATACCAAAAATAGCACTGGTCCTAGGACTGACCCCTGTGGGACCCCGCTCATCACGGGTGCCCACTGTGATATCTCATCACGTACCATGACTCACCGTTGCCTCCCTGTCAGGTATTCTCTGATCCATTGCAGTGCCCTTCCTGTTATATGCGCCTGATCCTCTAGCTTCTGCACTAATCTCTCGTGAGGAACTGTGTTGAAGGCCTTCTTGCAGTCCAAGAAAATGCAGTCAACTCACCCCTCTCTCTCTCTCTCTCTCTCTCTCTCTCTTGTGTGTGTGTGTGTGTGTGTGTGTGTGTGTGTGTGAGAGAGAGAGAGGGAGGGAGAGAGAGAGAGAGAGAGAGAGAGTGAGAGAGAGTGAGTGAGTGAGTGAGGAGGGCTGTTGGTAGGTTACTGTTTTATAACTGGCAAGACAGTGATGGAGGGAATGATGATGAAAGTGTTTCTTGTTTCCCAGATCATCCTGCCTTGGTGGGAAATGGCCGATGTGTTAATTAAAAAAAAAAAATTATACAGCCTCTCATCACTTAGCGACGTACTTGTTTACTGACGACTCAGACTTACAACAGGCTCTCTGACCAGTATGCCTAAATAATGTATATTAGAGCTGATTTCCTCTATTCTGTTTATTTCAATATACAGTACACTACTGTATAAACATTTAAAAATATACTAAAAATGTTATTAATGGTACAAAGGTGACATTAAAACAATATCAAAGATGGTGGACACAAACTCACTACCATTATAGTATGCTCCTCATTTAGTGATGAATTCATTTACCAACATGATCTTAGGAACAGAACTCCGTCGTTAAGTGAGGAGAGGCTGTATGTATGCTGGAGCATTCATTGTTGGAAAATCTGTGTTTATATTTGAAATTTTAGCTACAATATACATATGAATGAAAGAATTGATGTTGTATTGTGTAGAAACACATAAATGATCATATTTTTTATTCAGTCTTGCTCTCTAAACATTATTTTAAGCAGAAAATTAAAGTGCTCTGGATAATATGCAGTCTGAATTGACTCATGCAACACGTCAATTGATTTATTATATTATGAATCAGGTAACGTGGGGCCCATCCGCTCTGCATGCTCTATTCTACTTCATGAGGTGTAGTCAACTGGAGCATGCTGAGCATGCATCTCGAGCACCGATCCAGGAGCTAGTGTATGAGCGGCCGTACATCGTGTTACCACCACTGCTGGAGTGGGTGCGGGTGGCCACGGCCCACACCGAACACCGTCACTCCACTGTCGTTGACAAGGATGATGTGATGCAGGCAGCCAGGCTCCTCCTCCCTGGGGTCGACTGTCCTGTCAGGATGATTGGGTAAGAAATTAACTGCAAATCTTTGAGCTGATTGTGGGTAGTGGGTAGCCACAATACGGTGACTGGAACAGTACACAAATAATCTGCACATAGGAGAGAGAAGCTTATGACGACATTTTGGTTCGATGTCCATATATTTCAAGTATACCTACCCTCCGACTTACGACCTGCTCGACATACGACGATTCGACTTATGACCGTGTTTTCTATGCCAAATTTCTGGGAAATAAACAAGTGTTTGTGTTGTACAAAGTGTTTATCCTAAACCTTACAGTATAAAATACAGTACTAACAACATAAAAAGTAAAGTAAAAAATGAAATACCAAAATAAAACAATAAAATAAAGTCATTACAAAAATGTTTTGTTGATATTCAGTAGTAAGGTTTGACTTACAACCATTTCGACTTACGACCGGTTTGTCGGAACCAAACTCGGTCGTAAGTCGGATGGTACCTGTACTTGAGGTCTGACTTGGTCCATATATTTCAAGTACTTGAGGTCTGACTTGGCCCATATATTTCAAGTACTTGAGGTCTGATTTGGTCCATATATTTCAAGTACTTGAGGTCCAACTTGGTCCATGTATTTCAAGTACTTGAGGTCTGACTTGGCCCATATATTTCAAGTACTTGAGGTCTGACTTGGTCCATGTATTTCAAGTGTTCAAGGTCCAACTTAGTTTGAGTTGGACGGAAATGTTATCATAAGTTTTATTCTTTATGTGCAGGTTATTTGTGTAGTGATAGTGGATGATAGAGATAAGATTGTCTTGCAGTGATTTTAACAAATACAGTCATACCCCGCTTTACGTCATTTCGACTTACATCAAATGTGCCTCATTGCCACTTTTCTAGAGTAAATTTCAGTTCAGCAAACGTCATTACATCTGACTTTACGTCACTCAGCAACATCACCTATGTCATAATTTTTTAATTGTCTTTATTATTCTTTATAAAATTGATTAAAATGTGTTTTTAATGTTCTTTAAGGTTTAGCAATAGTTATACTCTTTCACGAGTTATTTACACTAGTTTTATGGTGTTTATCATCATTTTAAGGCATTATGTCCAGTTTATGTCAAAACCGAGGTTATGTCACAGCTCTTGGAACCAATTAACGACGTAGGTCGAGTATTGACTGCTTACAGTTGTGTAATCAACAAACATTTTCAAATCGATTACTCCAGCAAATATTGCCCCAGATGACTGCCAGATGACTGTGAAACAGAAACCTGTAACTGTTTTGCATGATGGTAGGATTGCTGGTTTCTTTTTCTGTCTCATAAACACGCTAGATAACAGGGATATCTTGCTACTCCTACTTACACTTTGGTCACACTTCACAGACACGCACATGCATATATATATACATACATCTAGGTTTTTCTCCTTTTTCTAAATAGCTCTTGTTCTTCTTTATTTCTTCTATTGTCCATGGGGAAGTGGAAAAGAATCTTTCCTCTGTAAGCCATGAGTGTCGTATGAGACGACTAAAATGCCGGGAGCAATGGGCTAGTAACCCCTTCTCCTGTAGACATTTACTAAAAAAGAGAAGAAGAAAAACTTTATAAAACTGGGATGCTTAAATGTGCGTGGATGTAGTGCGGATGACAAGAAACAGATGATTGCTGATGTTATGAATGAAAAGAAGTTGGATGTCCTGGCCCTAAGCGAAACAAAGCTGAAGGGGGTAGGGGAGTTTCGGTGGGGGGAAATAAATGGGATTAAATCTGGAGTATCTGAGAGAGTTAGAGCAAAGGAAGGGGTAGCAGTAATGTTGAATGATCAGTTATGGAAGGAGAAAAGAGAATAGGAATGTGTAAATTCAAGAATTATGTGGATTAAAGTAAAGGTTGGATGCGAGAAGTGGGTCATAATAAGCGTGTATGCACCTGGAGAAGAGAAGAATGCAGAGGAGAGAGAGAGATTTTGGGAGATGTTAAGTGAATGTATAGGAGCCTTTGAACCAAGTGAGAGAGTAATTGTGGTAGGGGACCTGAATGCTAAAGTAGGAGAAACATTTAGAGAGGGTGTGGTAGGTAAGTTTGGGGTGCCAGGTGTAAATGATAATGGGAGCCCTTTGATTGAACTTTGTATAGAAAGGGGTTTAGTTATAGGTAATACATATTTTAAGAAAAAGAGGATAAATAAGTATATACAAGATATGATGTAGGGCGAAATGACAGTAGTTTGTTGGATTATGTATTGGTAGATAAAAGACTGTTGAGTAGACTTCAGGATGTACATGTTTATAGAGGGGCCACAGATATATCAGATCACTTTCTAGTTATAGCTATACTGAGAGTAAAAGATAGATGGGATACAAGGAGAATAGAAGCATCAGGGAAGAGAGAGGTGAAGGTTTATAAACTAAAAGAGGAGGGAGTTAGGGTAAGATATAAACAGCTATTGGAGGATAGATGGGCTAATGAGAGCATAGGCAATGGGGTCGAAGAGGTATGGGGTAGGTTTAAAAATGTAGTGTTAGAGTGTTCAGCAGAAGTTTGTGGTTACAGGAAAGTGGGTGCGGGAGGGAAGAGGAGCGATTGGTGGAATGATGATGTGAAGAGAGTAGTAAGGGAGAAAAAGTTAGCATATGAGAAGTTTTTAGAAAGTAGAAGTGATGCAAGGAGGGAAGAGTATATGGAGAAAAAGAGAGACGTTAAGAGAGTGGTGAAGCAATGTAAAAAGAGAGCAAATGAGAGAGTGGGTGAGATGTTATCAACAAATTTTGTTGAAAATAAGAAAAAGTTTTGGAGTGAGATTAACAAGTTAAGAAAGCCTAGAGAACAAATGGATTTGTCAGTTAAAAATAGGAGAGGAGAGTTATTAAATGGAGAGTTAGAGGTATTGGGAAGATGGAGGGAATATTTTGAGGAATTGTTAAATGTTGATGAAGATAGGGAAGCTGTGATTTCGTGTATAGGGCAAGGAGGAACAACATCTTGTAGGAGTGAGGAAGAGCCAGTTGTGAGTGTGGGGGAAGTTCGTGAGGCAGTAGGTAAAATGAAAAGGGGTAAGGCAGCCGGGATTGATGGGATAAAGATAGAAATGTTAAAAGCAGGTGGGGATATAGTTTTGGAGTGGTTGGTGCAATTATTTAATAAATGTATGGAAGAGGGTAAGGTACCTAGGGATTGGCAGAGAGCATGCATAGTTCCTTTGTATAAAGGCAAAGGGGATAAAAGAGAGTGCAAAAATTATAGGGGGATAAGTCTGTTGAGTATACCTGGCAAAGTGTATGGTAGAGTTATTATTGAAAGAATTAAGAGTAAGACGGAGAATAGGATAGCAGATGAACAAGGAGGCTTTAGGAAAGGTAGGGGTGTGTGGACCAGGTGTTTACAGTGAAACATATAAGTGAACAGTATTTAGATAAGGCTAAAGAGGTCTTTGTGGCATTTATGGATTTGGAAAAGGCGTATGACAGGGTGGATAGGGGGCAATGTGGCAGATGTTGCAGGTGTATGGTGTAGGAGGTAGGTTACTGAAAGCAGTGAAGAGTTTTTTACGAGGATAGTGAGGCTCAAGTTAGAGTATGTAGGAAAGAGGGAAATTATTTCCCAGTAAAAGTAGGCCTTAGACAAGGATGTGTGATGTCACCGTGGTTGTTTAATATATTTATAGATGGGGTTGTAAGAGAAGTAAATGCGAGGGTCTTGGCAAGAGGCGTGGAGTTAAAAGATAAAGAATCACACATAAAGTGGGAGTTGTCACAGTTGCTCTTTGCTGATGACACTGTGCTCTTGGGAGATTCTGAAGAGAAGTTGCAGAGATTGGTGATGAATTTGGTAGGGTGTGCAAAAGAAGAAAATTGAAAGTGAATACAGGAAAGAGTAAGGTTATGAGGATAACAAAAGATTAGGTGATGAAAGATTGGATATCAGATTGGAGGGAGAGAGTATGGAGGAGGTGAATGTATTCAGATATTTGGGAGTGGACGTGTCAGCGGATGGGTCTATGAAAGATGAGGTGAATCATAGAATTGATGAGGGGAAAAGGGTGAGTGGTGCATTTAGGAGTCTGTGGAGACAAAGAACTTTGTCCTTGGAGGCAAAGAGGGGAATGTATGAGAGTATAGTTTTACCAACGCTCTTATATGGGTGTGAAGCATGGGTGATGAATGTTGCAGCGAGGAGAAGGCTGGAGGCAGTGGAGATGTCATGTCTGAGAGCAATGTGTGGTGTGAATATAATGCAGAGAATTCGTAGTTTGGAAGTTAGGAGGGGGTGCGGGATTACCAAAACTGTTGTCCAGAGGGCTGAGGAAGGGTTGTTGAGGTGGTTCGGACATGTGGAGAGAATGGAGCGAAACAGAATAACTTCAAGAGTGTATCAGTCTGTAGTGGAAGGAAGGCGAGGTAGGGGTCGGCCTAGGAAGGGTTGGAGGGAGGGGGTAAAGGAGGTTTGTGTGCGAGGGGCTTGGACTTCCAGCAGGCATGCGTGAGCGTGTTTGATAGGAGTGAATGGAGACAAATGGTTTTTAATACTTGACGTGCTGTTGGAGTGTGGAGCAAAGTAACATTTATGAAGGGGTTCAGGGAAACCGGCAGGCCGGACTTGAGTCCTGGAGATGGGAAGTACAGTGCCTGCACTCTGAAGGAGGGGTGTTAATGTTGCAGTTTAAAAACTGTAGTGTAAAGCACCCTTCTGGCAAGACAGTGATGGAGTGAATGATGGTGAAAGTTTTTCTTTTTCGGGCCACCCTGCCTTGGTGGGAATCGGCCAGTTTGATAATAATTAAAATATATATATATATATATATATATATATATAATATATATATATATATATATATATATATATATATTATATATATATATATATATATATATATATATATATAGGGGTAGACAGTGATGGAGTGAATGATGGTGAAAGTTTTTCTTTTTCGGGCCACCCTGCCTTGGTGGGAATCGGCCGGTGTGATAATAAAAAAAATGTATATATATATGTATATATATATGTATACACCTACCATCCGACTTACGACCGAGTTC